ATTATTCGATCAACAGTTGGAGAATATGTCCAATGATTATGGTGATCCTCATGCGGCAAGGGATTCAACAAAAAAACGAGCTTTTATCAAAAGAGATCATGAAGAAGGCCACATGCGTTTATGGAACGATTATTTCAGTGATGCTCCAACATACCCTGCTTATTTATTCCACCGACGTTTTAGAATGAACAAGTCATTGTTCTTGCATATTGTTTATCGACTCTCCAATGAAGTTCAATTCTTTCAACAAAAGAAAGATGCTCTCAGAAGGCATGGTCTCTCTGGACTTCAAAAGTATACAGCAGCAATTCGTCTCTTGGCATATGGTACTGCAGCTGATGCGTTTGACGAGTACCTACGGCTCGGTGCAAGTATTGCTCGTTCATGTTTGGAAAATTTTGTCGAAGCAATAATATCTTTGTTCGGCGATGAGTACCTACGAAGACCCACACCGGAGGATCTTCAGCGACTACTTGATATTGGAGAGCAACGCGGATTTCCCGGGATGATAGGAAGCATCGATTGTATGCATTGGGAGTGGAAGAATTGCCCCACAGCTTGGAAAGGGCAATATTCACGTGCTTCTGGAAAACCCACAATCGTTTTAGAAGCAGTAGCTTCATATGATCTTTGGATATGGCACGCGTTTTTTGGAGCTCCAGGTATCTTAAACGATATCAATGTTCTTGATCGCTCACCCGTTTTTGATGATATAATAAAAGGCCAAGCTCCGCAAGTGAATTTCTCGGTCAACGGAAGGGAGTATCATTTGGCTTACTATCTCACATATGGTATTTATCCGAAATGGACAACTTTTATCCAATATATTCCAATTCCACAGGGCCCGAAAGCATCTTTATTTGCTCAACATCAAGAAGCTACCCGAAAAGATGTCGAACGCGCTTTTGGAGTCTTGCAAGCTCGATTTGCCATTGTTAGAAATCCAGCTCTTTTTTGGGATAAAGCAAAGATAGGAAAGATCATGAGAACATGTATCATACTCCACAATATGATAGCAGAAGACGAACGAGATGGATACACTCAATTTGATATATCATGCTTCCAAGGAGAAGGAAACAGAAGCTCACATGTGGATCTCACGTATTCTATAGATATGCCTACAAATATCGACAATGTGTTGGGTGTTCGATCTAAACTTCGTGATAGACAAGTGCATTAACAGTTGAAAATTGATTTGGTTGAGTATATATGGCAGAAATATGGACGTGGTCAAGATAACAACTGAGCGTTTTTTTCCGTTTATTATTTCAAAATTTATGTTTAAAATATTTTTATGTCAAGTATGTTTCAAATTTCAATCAATGTAATATGTTTTATATTTTATTTAAAATATGAATTCTATTTACAATTAAAAAAAAACTTTTTTTAAGAATCTTTAAATAAGATTTTACCATTGGAGCATAGAAAATAAAATTATCTTAACAAAAATTTTTAACAAAAAAATTATAATTAAACAATAACTAAGATCCCATTAGAATTTCTCCCATTGCACATTCTCTAAGTATTATGGTAATGGTAGACTGGTGGTAGGTGAAGAACCCCAATTCAAAATCTATAACGGCCTATCAAATATGTATATCAAATATGTAACGAATAATCAATTATTTTAGTTGGATCCGTTTTTGAGCGTGTAACCTCCACATCAAATTTACAGTTACATAGTTTCCAATTTTAAGGGAAAAAACACTTAATGATTCTAGCTATTGAGACACCAAATTTGAGTAGTAGTTAAACACTATTAATAGGAGTATGAGGAAACACTAATGTTTAATGACACGTGAGTATGAAAATGAAGCTACAAGGAGAGAAGACGAAATGGATAAAGCAAGATTACCTTAACAAAAGTGGCTGCATTCTTTCGACATATGTTGTAGCAGCAACTAGATATTTTCAGGTGCAATATTTTTTTTTTACACCAACTGTAGCAACAAAAAAAAAAGATCTTAAATCAAGCGAACATCCAAACATTTGTGTATATATTTCAAATTTACCTCCTCGACGCAAATATGGTTTATTTACAAGAGGATATGAAAAAGTAAATAAGCCAAAAAGGCAACGTTAAGTTGGTAAAGAAAAGAAACAGGAGCAACTTTTTATGCATATTTCAACTGATGACATCTAGGAGTACCTAACGTATTGTTCGTCAACCGATGTTTTTCAATAACCATTATCTAAAAAATTTTTTTTTCAACATCCGTTCTTATAATTATTCAAATAAAAACTGATTTGTTCTAAGTCTTTGTTTCAAATAATACCCGACCAAAAATATTTTGGGTATAAAGATTGGATATACGTAAAACATACACAAATATTTGACTTTGATCAGAATTTTTCTAAGAATATTATGAAATAATGAACAAAGTAAAAAAAAAATTATCATCAGATATATAAACTAAGTTTTATTTTCTGATTTCAGCAACAAAATTTATACACAGAGACGTGGGACCGATTTAAGGCAGAAAAAAAATGAATTGGTTTGGTTTTGGGGACGGCAAAAGGGTACTGAGATTGTAACAAGTGGTGATCTATGTTTATCTTTGGGAGAATCGATCGCTTTATCCAAAATGGCCCATTCATGAATGGTCACGCTATTTTCAATCTGTCATCATATTCTTCCCTTCATCCTATTCCAACATATAGAATCCCGGAATATGTATCTTTTATATAATAAATGAGATCAATGAAATAAATTGCTGGACATGCAAATTAATGCATCACTGTTCAATAATGAGGAACAATTTGAAGCTATCAGGACAATGGTATTGATTTGTGTAAAGAATGTAAAAGACTCTAGAGACTTTGTCGATGATGACCCCAGTCAAATGATTTTTTTTTTCTAGGGGGGGTAATAACCAATTTCAAGCCATTTTAATTCTAAAACATTGGTCCCAGACATCTACACTCAAATAGAAAAATGTCAACTATAAAATTCTAATTTTTGTATATAAAAATTATGAGAACGGAAGGGAATTATAGAATTTTCGAGTACGTGAACATTGAAGTAAGCTCCTTCCTATATTTGAAGGAATATATGTAAAATTATTCAAGAAGAAGGAAAGGAAATGGGGGCGTGTAAAGAGAAAAAGAATATATTATATAGATGCGTCATGCGTATATGTGACGATATATCATATATGCTTGAGGAGAGGTCCCAAAGTTCGTCCACTAGTTTTATTACGCAATTATCTGACTGATCTTAGCTACTAGAATATTACTAATCATCAACGGTTTCGGTTACATCCGATTTAGTGATTGCATCATGCTTTAGTTTCGATTCAAAGTTAGAAAGAGAATTACATAGCCTATTAATCATAAACAGATTGTTACATATCCAAGTTAGTATCCGATTCAGATTACTACAAGTTCCCTTCGAATCAAAGTGATCAACGTGTAGTACATCAAATTTTAAGAAATCATATTGTAGTACAAAAAGTAATAAGTAATAATTTAATTTCTGTACTTCATATATAGATCGTTTATTTTAATTTTTTATATCTAAGTGTGGTTGACTGGTTGTCCACAAAGTAATTTACGATTAATTAATGCTTATTTTGTAATACTTATTAAGCTAAATAAAAAAAATAATTACTAAACCAGAGGACCAACTGAAAAGAAATCATACTCATTAGCGGCTGAAATCTATATGGTTAGATAAATTCGTAATTCATTGCTAAGCATGATTAGCAGCATACACCATACTTTGCAACGCTATTTTCCATCGCTGAAAATGTCGTTAATGACAACATGTCGTAATTCCATTGCTAAATTTTGAGATAAATCTTTGATTGCTGCTAATCAATCAGCCTAATCTATTGTCAATGATATTGGTCTTTTGCAATAAAGAGAATTGTTGGAACGTTATGGATTGCAAAGTTCACTCCTTTTACCCAATTAATCATCAATGGTTGCGCGCGGTCAAAATCCAAGGGGTGATTAAAATGATGATTAATTCGAATCTTACTATATCTAATACCGAAAGTGATTGTGGCATCCTAAACCAATAGTTGCTGGCTACTTGAGGAATTATGTAGATGACGTGGTTATGCCTTAAGTACAACGGTCATGTCGCCACTTGCGTAGCCGTACCGTTCTTTGTTTTTTGGATTTGGCTCCATTGATATCTCAAGAGTCACAACGAATTTTGTGCCCCATCATATTATTGTTAAGACTATGAACTGTTTTATTAAAGTAGTAATTAATCTTCGCGAGCATAAAATCTTTGTGAATATGTAAAACCGGCATGCAAACGAATTGACATAACCGACAACGTGCATGGAGTGTGAACGCAAACGCATCTGTTTATTTCGAGTTTACTTTATAAAAAGAAGCAAGCCATTTGATCTACTTTGAGTTTAGTTTTTTTTTCTTTAGTGATGTATTAATATTACATGTGGGTTTGCGGAAAGTTCTTTCTCGAAAACTTTATAAACATACATATTAAAAATTGAAATGTATGCATGCAATTTCAAACTTGATCACCTTTTCGAGGTATTATACTATTCCTCATAGCTATGGACGTGTTCATCATTTATCATGAATCATGAATGTCGACGAAAATCACCCTGCGGCCAGAAAGTGATGATCGATGAGAATAAATGCAAAGTTGACATTCCCTTAACACGCAACATAGATCCTCAAATACTAGAACTTTTTCCCTACATGCATCATCATGATCACAACTTACACTATATGCACATCAATCTCTATACCTCACATATGTCAACTTTCGAGCATCATATCATCTGCTTCTCTCTTATCCACAGTATCCAACTTCACAAAAATATGATTCTCCCTTTTAGCATTGCCCTCATCATTCATCCAAGATACCTCTATATGTTCATAAAGATTACATGTGAGTATGTGTATATATATAGAGTTCCAAGACTCATCACTTCTCCAAAACAAACACATCAACACAAATCTCCAACCTACTTAAAGAAAAAGACTTACATACGAAGTAAAAGAGTATTACTATACAAATGGATGTGGTAGCAACATTGGCATCACAAAGAGCAGTGGTGATATTCAGCAAGAGTACTTGTTGTATGTCTCATGCAATTAAGCGGTTGTTTTACGAGCAAGGCGTGAGCCCAGCGATTGTAGAGATCGATCAGGACATGTACGGCAAAGATATCGAGTGGGCCTTGGCCCGGTTAGGTTGCAGCCCTGCTGTTCCGGCTGTTTTTGTCGGAGGGAAATTCGTAGGAACGGCCAACACTGTCATGACTCTTCATCTCAATGGGTCATTGAAAAGGCTGCTCAAGGAAGCTGGTGCTTTGTGGCTATAGTACTTAATAGATGTGTTCTTGAGTAATTTATATTAATATGATCTTTACTTTGACCTTTGAAAGTGTCTTCACTTATGTACGTTTAATTAAAGCACATGTGAAGAACTACTTTGTATTGAGAATTATATATTTATATATGTCTATGTGGAGGTTAATTTTAATGATTAACTATAACCCATTCTGGACAGAATTTCGATTATATTTCCCACTCCTAATCAGAAGTTAGTTAATCTCCCGCTAATTTTATTTTATCATAGTTCGTGTTATTAGGAATAAACGGTAATTATTTGTTTTAAACTTCTAATGGTAATAAATATAAATAAATTTTATCACACTACTAAAAAACATGTTTATATAGCATCAGTTATTTGGCATCGCTTGTAAAACTGACATAAAATAGAAAAGGAAAATAAATATTTGAGGTCACTTAACTAAAACGATGTTAAACTTGAGAAAATTTGTAGGATCAATCTGTAAGAATCGGGAAAACAATCTGGTAGAAAATGGATGAGAGCAGATTTACATCAAATTTATGAAAATCGTCTTTTAGAAAAAAACTGAAAATAGTCTATATGAAATCCAAATTTCTAAACAAATCCCTTCAAATGTAAACATAATGTGTATAAACTAAATCTCTGGAATAATAAACTCTAACATCAATACTTAAATTTGTAATATTTGAGTATAAAAATAATATTTTCTTAAATTTGGAAAAGTTTTCTCACTTTTTCATAATAATCGATTCCCTACTTATTTAAGGTCTTTGCTAATTTTTTGACCAAAAGTCTTTGCTAATTTTTTTGACCAAAAGTATTTGCTAATTTTTGTGACGAGAAAAAAAAGAAACTGGAAAACAACATGAGTGGCATATTTGCGAAAGTGGCAAAAATATTTGTTGCTCCATTGTTATTAATCATATTTATCAATATTTGTTTTTCTCATTTTATAGTTATTCAAACGCATGCACTTGCCAATTCAGAAAAAAAAAAATCTGAATAATTCAGTAAATTCAGTAAAAATTTGTATATAATTTCTTCTTGCAAGCTGTCCAATAAATTTTTTCCTAATTATTATTAGCTAGGAAACAAGGGAATAACTTTAAAAGGTATAAAATATAAAAGCTATTTTATTTTTGGACAAAAAAAACTATTTTATTTTTGCAAGCTGTCCAATGCTTAATGTTCAAAAAAAATAAAAGCTGTCCAATGCTTGCATTATCTGCAATCTGTTTCCTAATCAATTAACTAGATAATATTTTATTTTTTCTTTCTAAGAGATATTTGGTCTTTCCTCTTTTGACTGGAAAACAAGTTTCCTACGAGGCTACGAGTAAGAAGTAAACACGTGAAAACCTGAAAACATTAGTGTGGCGTTTTCCGAATTTTTTTTGCTACCCAATTCAATATTTTGAATGTTTAACTTGGTTAGGAAAATAATAAAATTGAAGAAGAGAATTATGTCGGTTTTAACAAAAAAGACTATGGCATATATATTATGCCATTTTGAGAGAGAGAGAGAGAGAGAGAGAGAGAGAGAGAGAGAGAGAGAGAGAGAGAGAGAGAGAGAGAGAGAGAGAGAGAGAGAGAGAGAGAGAAGAGATCCTTTTAGTGAAAAAGAGATTTAATTTTATGTTAAAAAAAAAAAGAGATTGAATTTATGGCTTGAGGTGGTACACATAGTTTGGCATTGAAATGTCACTCAGAATCCTAATTATACAAGGCTTGATACTGCTCTGTAGTTCATCAAGAGTCTTAAGAAAAAACTATAACTTGGTCACTTTTTAGAAGATTATTTCATTGGCATTTGTGCGGTTATGGTCCTGTCGATGCTGCTCTGTAGCTCATCACGTAACATGAGTGGCTACGTGAATCGCCCTGCGTAAGGAAAGTAATGATCGATGAGAATCCATGCACAGTTGACATTCCCTTAACACGTAATATTGGAATTTTCTCTCCATGCATCATCACAAGTTACAATATGCATATCAATCTCTGCACTGATCTACACTATCTTACTCAGATTTGTCAACTCTCGAGCATCAAATCTTCTGCTTCTCTTATCCACAATCCAAACTTCCCAACAAAATAAGATTCTCCCTTTTATCGTAGCCCCATCATTAATCCAAGATGCTCTAATATGTTCATCAAGATTACACGTGGGTACGTGTATATATAGAGTTCCAGGACTCACCCCTCCAAAACAAACCATCAACGCAAAAATCTCCAAGCGATATACAAAGCAAAAATACATATATAAATAGTAAAAGAGTATTACTATACAAATGGATGTGGTAGCAAGATTGGCGTCACAAAGCGCAGTGGTGATATTCAGCAAGAGTACGTGCTGCATGTCTCATGCAATTAAACGGCTGTTTTACGAGCAAGGCGTGAGCCCGGCGATAGTAGAGATCGATCAGGACATGTACGGGAAAGATATTGAGTGGGCCTTGGCCCGGTTAGGCTGCAGCCCTCCAGTTCCCGCGGTTTTTGTCGGAGGGAAATTTGTAGGAACGGCTAGTACCGTCATGACTCTTCATCTCGATGGGACATTGAAACGGTTGCTCAAGGAAGCTGGTGCTTTGTGGCTTTAGTACTTAGTTAATTAAGTTCGTCTCATGTGTTCCTGAGAGTTTTAAACATATCTTTTCTTTGAGCTTTGAAAATGTCTTCACTTTATGCACGTCTAATTTAAGCATATGTGAAGAATTACTTTGTAAGTTGAGTGTTATATATGTCTTTATGGAGGTTGGTTTAATGATTAACTATGCGTCTATTTGGCCCATTCTGGACAGAAATCTCTGCTTTATACGGCAAATTGTCTTTGGTTAATGGTTATTAACTATTACTTTTTTTTGGGTCGAAACTATTACTTTTTTTATTGTGTACTCTGTTTCTATGATTAAATTGGCAGTTTTAACAACTTAATCAGCAAAATTACAGTGTACCAATGAATCTAAAAGAAAATGGATGAGGGTGAGATTTCCAAATTTATGGAAAATTAAACGTAAAACATTATTTTGAGAATTTTAATTTCGTGAGCAGAAAAGACGATAATATTTATTTTTTTATCAATTTAAAGTTTGCTCATGACTATCTTAAATCTAGAGTAAAACTAAGGTTTTGTAAAAATTAGTTGGTTTAGTTAATTTTCATTGTTGATTTTTCTTTAAAGGTGGTAATACTTTTTGTTTAGTTTAATTTCATTTTAAGCAAAATTTTGGTGTAAGATTATTCATATATAGTGAACACTAAAAGAGCAAATATCTTTGAATCTATGTTCTATATATTAGTCTATTTGAAAAATACAAAATTTATTATAAAATAATCATAATTTTTTCTCAACTTATATGAAAAAGTTTATATAAAGTTATCTATGATTCGATGATTTTGTATGATTATGGTTTATAATTTTGACTAATATCGCTATTTAAAATTTTAAATTTTTCAGCAAATTTAATTTATAAAAAATAGACGCTACTACGTTTTAAAATAAGTCAAATTTAAAAAGTATAAGTTATTGGGTATTTATGTAAATTTACTTTAAAATTATATTAACAAATAGATAAAATCAACGTATTTGGTATATAACTTTTCTAAAGTATATGCTGTATTCTATACCGCAAATATTAGCTAGATAAGATTGGACGACTTTTATTGCTGCGTTTCCTTAAAAGATTGTAAAATAATTCTGTGTAATTTAGTTTTACCATTTAAGCATATTTTTTGAGTAAGCCTATTCATGTATAAAAAGAACACTGGTATCTATTTCTCTTATCCCTCAAAAAGTATATTACAATATATAATCATACAAATTTCCGGTTCCCAACGCGTATGAAAAGGTATGTGCTGAATTGATCGATGAATAATGATTTTGTATGATTGTAGTTTGCAGTTTACACAAATTATTTGTTGCTGCCGTATAATTGAATTTTGCAATGAAAGTGTTTAAATCGATTAAGAAAAACTAGATGATATTATATAGTTGGGAATGATATAATCATGTAAATCCAAATGATTTTTGTGTGTGTGTGTGTGGAAAAGTAGTGTGCGTCATCTTGACCTCAGTGAAATTTATTGATTGTGATCACCAATTTGATATATCGTGTAGTATGTTGAGCTCAATGAAAGCCTGGATCTTGAAGCATATCCCCTTGATGTCTATCGCGGCGGCTGCATTTGCAATCATAGCGATTGTAATCGTGTTACTGTTGATCTACTACAACAAATCACTTCCCAAGAATCCAATTTGTGACATCAATACAATCCTCCTAAGAAGGCTTCGTAAGTCTATAATCTTCCAAATGATTGTAGTTATTGTAGATTTTTAAAGTGTTAACACATTTTTGATTCTCATGTAAATGCATTGGCACACAATAGAAGGCCTGACTGAGTACTCCTTAGAGGAAATAAGGCTAGCAACGTTCGATTTCGAGGCGAATCATCGTGTTAGGTACGGAAGTTTGGGCCCAATTTATGTTGGGATACTCCAAAGAAGGGTCGTAGCAATCAAAATTCTGACAGCTTCTTATCATCCTAGATTCTTGGCTGAGGTACACGCAACACAAAACTTGTTGGTTTTTTTTTTTTTTTTTTTCAATGGAAAATAATGTATATGTGTGTTTGTGCATCTCAGGTTTATTATCAGACTAAAATTCGACATCGTAATGTGGTTAGTATATTGGGTTACTGCTGCGAAAACGGGCATAAAATGATCGTCTATGAGTGTATGGTTCACGGTAACATGCGAAGTTATCTAAATTGTAAGCAAAGTTTGCATTATAATGAACTCTTACAAATTTTCGGTCCATGAAATCATTTATATGTTATATTATATAACCTCTTTATATCATTGGATAGGCTCCGATGTCTTAAACCTGAAGAAAAGGATATCTATAGCTCTTGGAGCCGCGAAAGGTATTATCAATGGATGATGGAGGATTCAAGAACCATATTATATATGATTTTTTTTTTTTTTTTTTTTTGGTTTCTGTCTCATTCTTTGTGTTTCTTGATACGACGCAGGGTTGCAACACATGCACAGCTTAACTCCTCCGTTGTCACACAACAGATTCACGACGGCTAAAGTTTTACTCGATGCCAAGTTCGAGGCCAAAGTTTCGGATTCGGGATGGTCAAGACAAGTTGAAATGAGAAACGGAGGAGAAGCTAATGATGATGATCTAGAGTACTACTTATTCACTCATTTGATCTTTTTTTTTTTATAAGTTTCATCAATTCTTACTAAGTTTCATGATGTCTATATAGGGTTGGTTTACATATTCCGGAGGCTTTCGATGGAACTAGCGATGTGTATAGCTTTGGTTTGTTTCTTCTTGAGCTCCTGACCGGTGAAGACCCTGGAGCGTTAACAACAATCGATGAATTGATTAACTGGGTAATGCACACGAACACACACACACACACACACACATATATAAAGGTACTTTTGTTGTTGTTGTATGTAATTTGAATCTATTTGTGATGTGTAGATAGTTCCGCGACTTGAGGCAGACACATTTGCGGATCCGAGGATAAGTGAAGCGGAGGTTCGTAGGGCAGAGTTTCACCGTGTTTTGAGGATGATGCGTAGATGCTTTACGTTTCCGGCGAATCAACGGCCAAAGATGGAGGAGGTCGTGACGGAGCTCCAGGAGATCTACATGAGCGTTTTAGCCAGTGAACAAGTTCTGTCTCAAGTATCCGACTTTCTTGCAGATTCAGAGTGAAAGAGAGAAAGCTTTTTTTTTCTTTTGTTTGTTTGTTTTGATAATCAGATTAATAATCTCAAAACTCTAGAAAAAGAGTTTGGGGAGAATCAATAATTTTGCAATTTTTTGCAACAGAATGTGAAACTTATCAATCGTTTTTTAGAATTTGTATTCATCGGATTCCGATTTATCTAATCTATTTCGAGCTTCGTTTTCGATCGAATTTCCAGTAACAGCCATTGTCTGAACCCTATAGAAGCTGTCTTCTTCTCCGGTGAAGCCTGAAAGGGGGAACGAGAAGCAAAACAAAGGATTTAGGATTTAGGATTTAAACCGGATAAAACCGCACCCAATTCGAATCGGTTAGAATAATTTCGGTTTAATTACCTCGATTGAACCGGGTTAACATCAAATCCAATTTTCTAAACGGAATTAACTTGTATGATTGCATCTAACGCAAATTAATTATAGCGAACCAAAGAGAAACTCTGCAAACAAACATCGCAAAGTCGAACAAATTGTAAACGAGTTTACTTACATTTATCAGATTTCTATTTTTATTTTTTATTTTAAAGTTTTCGCGGTTATATCCCCAAAAAAATTCCTTTCATCTCTTGTTTGCTGCTTCTTCGTCTTCCATATTCTCTCCTTCAGCTAATCGATCGCTGAATCCGAAGCTCTGATCTATTCATTTCGATCTCTCACCGGTTTCCTTGATTTTCCTCTGTATTCATCTCTCTAAGTCGCGTCGATGGCTTCAAAGTGATTTTGGATTCTTGTAGGTAAGCTATTGCAATCTCTCATTTTCCCCTCTTCTCTTTGATTTTTTCTCTTGCGATAGAGGCAGTTTCGATATATGATTCCATTTTTCCTCATGAAATTTTCAATTCATCGAGCTCTAATCGTCGTTTTTGCATATTTTGTTTGGGTTTCTATTGGGGGACATAATTCTTCGAATTAGGTGCGAAGCTATAAGTTTAGGATTCCATTTTCTTTCTTTCTGGGCAATATGCGCACTGATTTTCGAGCTTTCGATTTGAATTGGAAGCTCAAATCGTTGGGTGTCAGGTCGTCTGATTCGAATTCGCCCAAATTTCAGTATAACTACCTGTAGTTGCTTTTAAAGAGATTAATTTCCATTTCAGAGAAGCCCATTCTTAAACCTTTTCTGGGTTTCGTACTCTATTGAGCGGAAGTAGTGTTAGTTATAGTATCAATTGAGTATTGCATGCAGAATTTAGTTTCATCAGTGCCTGTAGTCATTTTCTTTGGAGATGACCAAATTACTCAATAGATGTATCAATCAATGATCGAGCCTATGGTTTATTGTGCATGTTGGCGTAGAACTAACCTTGGTTTCGGTTTTGGGAATGTTCAGGTAAGATAAAAGAGTTTAGCTATGGCACCTTCAAGATCAAAGAAATCTAAGTACAAGAAAACTCCCCGTGGTAAAGCTGTTTCTCCTCAAAAAGAGGAAGAAAGTATGACTAAAACCAAACAACGGGTAAGCTAATACTCAAGTAGATGACCTCAACTTTAAGTTATATGATTTCTGATACTTGAGAGTTGTGATTGTGGAATTTCTCATAGTTAGGCTGCTGCAGAAGGATACCAATCTTTAGCATGTACCTAGATGTCTGCTAGTCTATTCAGGGTTTACCCCGATATCTCTTTCTTGATTGATCCATGATATTTATTACCTTTTTTAGTTTGGTTTCAGCATTTACTCATTTCTTTTATTGTAAGTTGTTGTTTCTGTTCAATTCCTATTTCAAGCAAGAGACATTGTTTTACCCTTGTCTCTAATGTGCAAGCAAATATTTGTTGTTATTCTGCGATAAAATGTTTAAGCATATCTTATGATGCTCCTTACATGCAGAAGAGGAAGTTGTCGGATATGTTAGGTCCTCAATGGAGCAAGGAAGAGTTAGAGCGCTTTTATGATGGATACCGCAAATTCGGAAAAGAATGGAAAAAGGTTAGTTCAATTAGCAAAATATACATTATCTAAGACTTGGAGTATGATTTGTAATACAACATTCCATTATGCTCTGTAGTTTCCGGTTTATATTGTGGGGATGGTAGTGTCATTTCTATAATCACTCTGGGTTGCAGAACCAAGAATAATAATTTGTTGTTTCTCCTCTATGCTTTGTAGGTGGCTGCATTTGTACATAGCCGCTCTGCAGATATGGTAGAGGCTCTATACACTATGAATAAGGTTAGCTTGCTGTTATCATGCCTCGGTTTGTCTTTAATCTCTGCCTAGACATTTTTCAACTTATATTATGCCATCTGTACTTTAGGCTTACTTGTCTCTTCCGGAAGGCACTGCTTCTGTGGTTGGACTAAATGCGATGATGACTGATCACTACTCTGTTTTGGTAAGAGCTTTAAAACGTTCAAATAGTTATTTGATTTCGGCATTTTGGTTATTGCTAGCTTACACGCATTTGGTCCAGTTCAGGATACTAGTTTTCATTTGTATATTCAAAACAGTTTACATGTCTTACACCCGTTCCTATGGAACATCTGCCAACTACTAATTTTGCGTCTTGTTTAAGTTTGTCCCACTTAGGGGATCAGATTTTGTTACTTGAAAATATAGTTTAACTCAGGGAAGACGAATTCTTACATATTTTTTGTTGGCTAGCTGACTTTGTGTGTTTTTGGGGGACGTGGAGTGAGGTTGATAGTTGTTGATAAAATATTTGCATTTATATTTCAAAGGAATATAGTTGGTAGTGTGTAACGAGTCTATCTCTTCTCTAGCATGGAGGAAGTGACAGTGAGCAGGATAAAAATGAAGGTATCAAAACTCTGAGGCCAGCCCCAAAGCGCTCTAAAGTGAAATCTTCAGATCATCCCTCCAAAGGATTGGAGGGTCTGTCTGACCGCTTGCAGTTCAGGTCCTCTTCAGGCTACTTACCATCACTGAAGAAGAGACGTACTGGTAGTGTTCTCTGCTTCTCTTTGCCTCAAAATCTTTTCACCCATTCACAAGCATGAGTTTTGCGTGCACACACACAATTATATATATGCATGCGTCTTCGCTTAGTGAAAACTCTTTTCCTAATTACTGCAGTCCTTCTGCGGTCAAACCATGTTGCTGAATACCTTGCAGAATTAGCTTAGCCAGAACTGCTCTTTCTTTTCTTTTTTTACTAGCGTCAAGATGTACAGCAGAAATTTGTTAAAAAACAGTTAGGGTAGAAGATACAACATAAGTTAGTAGCCTCACAATTGTATGACGTGGGAATAAAAGACTATCTCCCCAAAATTTTATTGTGTCATTAGCTATCTCTCTAATGTTAAAGATCTATTGGTTGCTAACTTTTCTTTTAATCATAATCTGCATGTGCCAAGAGACGGCGCCTCGTGCTGTTGGGAAAAGGACTCCTAGAATTCCAATCTCATATACCCCCGAGAAGGATACTAAGAGGTCTCTTAATCAGAAGGGGGATGATACTGATGATGATATGGAACATGAGATTGCAAAAGCATTGACTGAGGCCTCACAACGAGGTGGTTCAACCAGAAACTCCCACACACCAAATAGAAAAGCAAAGATGTACTCCCCTGATAGGAAGGATGAAAGAATGGTAATTTCCTTTACTGTTGCTTATAATTTATGTACCTGCTTCATGAAGCTTGTGATCCTCAAATTTTTGTACTGTTTATATACACTATAGGAAGAAGTTTTAAGGAAACTATATCTCAGTTGCGCTACATGATAGTCCTTTTGCAAATTCAATTAATAGATGTAAATTACCGTTTTGCTTTAGTAGGAACTGTTTTATAGAAATATGGACTGACAAATTTTGATATGCAGCGTGCCGATATTGACTTGGCGATCTCCAAGCTTCGTGCCACTGATATGGAAGATGCCCGCTGCGAACCAAGCTTAGGAAGCACTGAAGCGGATAATTCAGGAGGTAGAAATGAGTTGACGCATGGAGAAGGTTCTAGTGCCGTGGATTTGCAGCATAAAGGAAAAAAATACTATAGGAGGAGATTAGGCATTAAAGAAGATGATGCAAAAGAAGCCTGCAGTGGTACAGATGAAGCACAAAGCTTAAGCACTCTCGATGAGAAATTCGAACCAGAAGGGGATGGAAAGCGTTTGAAATTCACATATAAAAGTTCGAGAAGGAAAAGTAAAAAAAGTCTCTTCACTGCAGGTGTGTTCTAGTCTCTCACTTTTCTGTTCAATTATGTATCTGCAATGCACATCGAATTAGGAGAAAAAGAAATACAACAGAAACATCAATTCTCCTTTATTTAAAAAACCTTATAAATGGAGGGGAGCACACATGCCTGGTTGATTCTTAAGAGAAATTCCAATTAAAGTCCAGATATCCCATGAAAAAAATAAGATTTCATCTCAACCAGCTGATACTCTTACTAGATGTATACTGGAAACTCATCATTTGACTATCTGTTTTGGTGGTCACTTTATCTTAAGTTTCTCAACTTTAAAATTCTAAATTCTGGTTATATGACAACTTTTTTCGTCTGGATAAACTGTGGGAGCAACTACTGCCTGTTTCTGGTAAGCTTATATTAGCTGGCTACTGAGCTTGGAACTGAAATTAGACCAAATTATAATGAGGTCGATAGAGTCATTCTTCTAAAGATTCTCTTAGGAAGCTGATTTACGTTTTTTTCTTCTGAAGTTCAACTCATGTTTACATTCGTTTGAACTAATAATTACTGCTGTTCTTTGCATGTCTGCATGGTAATGTTGCGAAGTTTCAATTTTTACTGTTTATACCGGCAGTTCAACTTCTCTTTTCTGTAAATCCTCTCTGCAGATGAAGACACAGCATGTGATGCTCTCCAGACGCTGGCAGATCTATCGCTGATGATGCCTGAAACTGCCACGGACACTGGTGGGATACATATGTTTGACCTATAAACGTTTTACATATAATCTAGTGTCTTAAGCTGGTTAATGTTATTGGGCCATATACATATAATTGCACTGATACGCAATTAAGTTGTCTAATAACTTTCTCAATCTGAATTTTTGTTTGATTTCAGAGTCATCTGTTCAAGCTGAGGAAAAAAGAGCTGGAAAAGCTTCTGTGTCAGATTATAAAGGGACTGATCCAGCATCCATGTCTAAAAGGGTTTCTCTTAGAAACCCCAAACCGAGAAGATCCTTCAGCAATGATCTGTGTAATACCGAAGTCGAGAGAAAGAGTCCAAGTAGCTCTGTAATCCGAAAGGGTCGGCAGAAAGCATCACCAACTAAAGTAAGAGTAGCTATATATTTAACAAAGACAGACTTGGTTTAACTGTTCTGTTGACAGGATTCATGACCATGTTGAAGCTGTTTTCTTCCTGCAGGTTCCTAAAGATGAGCTCGCTGCAATTTCACAAGTCATTGAGCCTCCTAAAAACAAGGTACGTGTCTGCTTTACAACTCAACTCTTCCAATTAGACAATATTGCAAACAGTACTTATCTGCGTCCTATGTGGAATGTATTGTGTATCTTTGGCAACCAAATCATTTAAATATTTGAGGTTTGTTTTTCTTCGTGGAATTTTGCTTGTAGCTTTTATCTTAGGACTGATTGTAATGTTGTAGGGAATAGGTGAGGGAAATGAGCCTGTTGGAAGAGGTAAGCGGTCCGCAATTATTCGAAACTCACATGAAAAGAAGTCTGTCAAACCCCAGGATCGTACTTCCTCAAGTAACAACATAGTAGAAGAAGATGAGTCAGCTCCATCAACTGCAGTCACAAAAAAACAAGTTAACTTGCCAACTAAAGTTAGGAGCAGAAGAAAGATAATAACTGAGAAACCTCTAACCATTGATGACGTGAAGAATTCAGAGATTCTAGTGAGTAAAATTTCTGATGATAAGACTTTATTGCCAAATGATAAAGAACCCCGGTTCATCTTAAGATCATTATTACATTCTATGGAGCCTCGTTTGCTGAGTTCCCTGATTATATATATACTTTTAATTTACAGGAGAAGTTTTCGCATTGCATATCTAGTTTTCGAGCGCGAAGATGGTGTCTTTTTGAGTGGTTCTACAGTGCTATTGACTACCCGTGGTTTGCCAGACAAGAGTTTGTTGAGTACTTGGATCATGTAGGGTTAGGTCATGTTCCTAGGTTAACTCGCGTCGAATGGGGTGTCATAAGGAGGTTATCACTACTAAAATGCTGTTAATTTTATACTTTTTTTCTTTCTATGTGTATGTATATGTATGTTTCCTTAATCATACTTTGTTGGTGCAGTTCTCTTGGGAAGCCAAGGCGTTTTTCTCAACAGTTTCTGAAGGAGGAAAAAGAAAAGCTAAACCTATACAGGGATTCTGTAAGAAAACATTATGATGAACTAAACACGGGCACGAGGGAAGGACTTCCGATGGATCTGGCTCGGCCTCTAAATGTTTCACAGAGAGTCATTTCCATTCACCCAAAGTCAAGAGAGATTCATGACGGCAGTGTCCTAACTGTTGATCACTGTAGGTACCGGATTCAGTTTGACCACCCTGAATTAGGGGTGGAATTTGTCAAGGTACTCTTTCTGGTACTGCAAAATTTTCTGCCATTTGTACAATCTAGATTTTCTAACTTGAAGAATCACCATGGATATGGATTAAACACCGAAACTGAAAAAAGAAGAGAAGAGAAATCAATCGACGCAGTTGACTGCACATATGTGAATATGACCAAAGTCTTAAATAGGTTCGGTAAATAGAATCGCTACTCAATTTCCCACAACAGTAAGTTAGCACTTAATAGTTGATCAGTTTATCTGGTGCATACTTCACGGGCTACAAAACAGTAATTTCATGACTTGAGAGTGGGAACGAATTTGAATGTTGATAACATTTAACTTATAGAATCTCCCTTTTGGTGTAGGATACTGAATGCATGCCACTAAATCCTCTAGAAAACATGCCCGCATCACTTGCAAAGCACTATGCTTTCTCGAATTATCACATTCAGAATCCCAGTGAGGAGAAAATGCATGAGCGGGTAAAGGAAAGCATGCCGGAAGGATATCTCAAACTTTCGTGCGAGACAGGACATCCCTTATCCTCACCAAATTATAACATTAGCAGTTCACTAAAGCAGGAAAAGGTTGGTATTTTCTGACCATCACGCCAGGCTCTATATTCTGCTTTTCTGTATGCTATATTCTTTTGTGGATGTTCATTTCTCTGCATGCCTGGAAGAACTGATTTAGTATTCATACACATCTAGGAGTATAAGGCGTTCTTTGTGGTTTACTTATTCAATCTCTTGGGGTTTCTCTGTCTGAAGTCTTTGAGCAACAGTTGTACCTGGCGTCACTTTACCCTGGGAAGTTAGTTGTAGATAATTCAAATCTCTTACCAATCTTGTACACAATTAACGTGCATGTTCTATTACTGTTTTCGCTGAGAGTGTAGCTATGTTACGCCTCCTCGTTACTTGCATCCACTTTATTTTGTAATGCCTTGTTTGGCATTTGACCACATTCAAATCTTAGCTACAGCAACTAAATCACGATAGATATAGTTCAATCATATTCATAGTTTGACTTAATTTGACAGGTAGATATCTCAAGTTCGGATCCACAAGCTCAAAATGGAGTCGATGAGGCTCTTGGTTTACAATTGTTTAATCCTCAGCCTTCAAGTAGTGGGCATATCCATGCTAGAGAAGCTGATGTCCAAGCTCTTTCTGAACTAACACGTGCGCTTGACAAAAAGGTTCGACCAGTTTATCATTCTAAGCCTTCTATACATCTGTGATGTGTGTTTTCTCGTAATCTTCTATACTTTAACACTTCTTTCTGTTGTCGGGTTGATTTTTCCGTCTCTTTCCATATATCATGATATTGCTTCATTCTTGCAAGCTTTAAGCTTCTCGTTTCCTTCACATTATAAGTAGAGATTGCAAGAGGATGTGATTGGATAGAACAATGGTTTCTAATTGACTAGTAACGAATTGCGAAATCGTAAAACTACATAAGCGTTGAAAGACTAATAAAATTTCCGAGTTAGATATGTTACCCTTTGATTGACTCCATTTTATATTGTTTCCTCCATGTCTTCCATGGTTGTCTAGCTCTTTTGACATTATGTTTCCATTTCAACTAAATGTGAATGTACAACGCTGCAGGAGCTAGTTTTGAGGGAGCTAAAGTGCATGAACAATGAGGTTGTGGAAAGTCAGAAAGATGCACAGAATGCTCTAAAGGATTCTGAATCTTTTAAGAAACAATATGCAGCAATTCTCTTTCAGCTAAGCGAAATAAATGAGCAGGCAAGAGTTTATGAAGGAACTATAAGAATCATCTTGTTGTCATTACTGCATTCAGCTCCTGAAGATTCGTATTCCATGTCTCAATATGCACAGGTTTCATTGGCACTTCTTGGCTTGAGGCAACGGAATACTTACCAAGAGAATGTACCATATACTTCAATAAGACCCATGAGCAAATCAGGGGAACCTGATGATCAGTTGACGTGCTTAGACAATTATGCATCTGATACTAATGGATTCCATGTGTGGGAGATTGTTGACAGCTCTAGAAAAAAAGCACGGAAAATGGTACACAGAGCTGTACAGGTGTGTGAGTGTAACGAGTTGTTCTGTTTCTAAGTTTGGATCTCTACGTATGATAAAGCTTCTTAATTGATAATTTACTCATCAATTTGTTGCGCATCCGTATGTCTAACCAACTTAACTACTTTGTCTCTGTATCTGTTGCAGGCATTGGCGTTATTAAGGAAAGACAAAAATAATGTTGTAAATATTGAGGAAGCCATTGATTTTGTTAATAGTCAGCTCTCAGTAGATCAAACAGAAGGATCATCAGTCCAGCAAATGCAAGCCGCCCAGGATCAGCGTCTTCCCTCTACATCAAATCCACCTAGCTCAACTCATGCCGATGGATCCCACGTAAACCCGCTAGACCAAAATGACCTGCAAATTCCGTCGGAACTTGTTTCACGCTGTATGGCTACATTGCTCATGATTCAGGTGAAAAATAACTTAAAACCCATTCAGTAACTTTCCTACTGAGAGCCATCTGCACATTAACTCAATTACGTTATCTTGGTTTCGAGTTCTCTCTCTTCATACAGTTTTAGACATTAGAGAAAGTTCAGCCTTTGGTGTAGTTTTCCTTCTGTAGTGGCTGCATTATTTATCTTGTGTTGCGTTCTTATTTCGTTCCCAGTATGTGATCCTAACATAGAAAAAAAAAACACGATGCAGAGATGTACAGAGAGGCAATTCCCACCAAGTGAAGTGGCCCAGGTTCTGGACTCGGCAGTGGCAAGTTTACAGCCTTGCTGCTCCCAGAACCTTCCGATCTATACGGAGATTCAGAAGTGCATGGGAATAATCAGAAACCAGATTCTAGCTCTCGTACCCTCCTAAAGTAAGAATCCTAAACACCATGACTTAATAATAACCCTCTCTCTTTTATCTTTTTTCATGATGCTTGTTTATCCTGTAAAATCGATGCTTCTTTATAGAAAAATCCTTTTTTTATATATACCTCAATTATTTGGAGTGTTTGACTCACGGAACTTCCTCTATTTCATACTACCTTTATTTCATTCTCTTTTATTTATGTAAGCCATCAATTATTAGATGGGAGTGCATCGGGGTCCATTGTCATTGTCTTATAAGGTACTAACTAGTTTCATTCCTTATCTTGTTTAAATCAATCCCATCGTTGAGTTTCATAATGTGTAATACCTATCCTCTTCATCTATTCAACAAATACATATGTAGACATTTCTTGTTTAGACTGCAAACAGAGCTCTGAGTGAGATAGGCTTTGTCGATTGGTCCAGCCGGTCCCATTGTGTCCCAATTCGGATCAGAAGATGTTTTGGTTTGGCTCAGTCTGATTCCAAATCTGGTGTTGTAGTAGATCGTATTTTGGGGTCAGATAAAGTCGACTTGGGGTCCTGGAAACAAAAGTTGTTTTAAGTGTTATTTAAGAAATCATTAAAGATAAGAAATCCAATACATTATAACGAGAAAACAGTACAAGTAAACTGTAAAAGATGGTAAATGGATCAATGAGTGCGCATGTGCAACAAAATTTTCTCAACGAGTGATAATTGAGAATATTGGCTTTTGTAACAAAGTGAGCATTTTGATTCTATAGGAGAATGATAAAGTCATCATATTAGTACTCCTCAAAGACTTTTAATCTTAAACTTGATGAGACCTTAAGACTTGCAACAATCCTCCTACAATGATACGCAAATTTTGGGATTTGGAAATTGTTCTAAGCGCTGCAATGGTCTTCAGTTTCTAAATTGCACAAAAACCAGAGTCAGAATTACTTTGATTTCCCAAAACTAGTAATCAATATGAAGGCTTAAATTAGACGTCTAACATTATTCTCAATAGCATAATGCTTTCCTTCCAACTTACTAATAGTTTAGCTTAACAAATAAAAAATGTTTTAGCCCGCGAGTGAGATTTGATTCAATCACAGTCAACGCTCATTGACCGCTTCCGTTTTATCTTGAGCAGTTGGAACTGGATATACACGAATCTCCTTAATCGCAGAAAAACCCTAATAAGTTTCTCTAATCAATCGCAGAAGATGGCGTCGGGATTTACCATAACCATGGCCGATGGGTCTACCATAAACATTCCGCCTGGTGAAGGATTTACATTTACCATAAACCCAGCTGGATCCGGCGTTCATCCTCCCCGCCTCTCCTCCGCCAAACCCTCGCCGGCAACGGCTAACCCTAAAGTATTCTTCGATATGACCGTGGACGGCAAACCGGTTGGTCGGACCGTGATGGAGCTGTTCGCCGACATTACACCGCGGACGGCGGAGAACTTCAGGGCGCTATGTACCGGGGAGAAAGGCATGGGGACGCGCGCTGGGTAAGCCACTCCATTACAAGGGATCAATCATCCACCATGTGGACCCCGGTTATATGTTATGCGGAGGAGATTTCGTTGCCGGTAACGGAACCGGAGGCGAATCCATTTACGGCAGCAAGTTTTTCGAGGATGAGAACTTCATCAAGAAGCACAATGGTCCGGGTATCCTCTCCATGGGGAACCGTGGTACAGACACCAACGGGTCTGAGTTCAGAATCTGCATGAAGAGGATCTTCCAACTCGACGACGAGTGCGTCGCTTTTGGCCAAGTTATTGAAGGATTGGATGTGATCAGGCGCATTGAGAAGGTCCCTACTGTTGGGGACGTCAAGCCTTCCAAGCCTGTCGTGATCGCCGAGTGCGGTCAGATTTCATAGATTTGGTCGTTTTCTTCTTGTTTACCTTTTGAGTTATTTGCTATTATTGCTACTGCAAAAAAAAAAAAAAAAAAAAATCACAAGTTCTCTGTTTTATTGTTATTTATTTTGGGCGTTATTGATTGATTATATTTAAAGCTAGGCCGGTATGAAAATTGGGGTGTTATTCCAACAGATGGAGACGCCTACTCTTTGTGTATTTATAGCTTTTCAATTACGCGTTTTTCAACTTTCATTTCTGTTAATTAACCATAGATCTTCCAGTGATACGAAAGTTTAATTTACGAAACAATCAATATTTAAACTATTAACCAACGCTAAGTGACATTACTCCGCCAATCATAGTAGTCGTAGACTTGGCAATGCAATGCTAATTCTTTTAAAACATTCGTGTTTAGCAATTGTGGAGGGGTCTTTTATATTTCCATATCTACCCCTACCATTGTGAGCTCACTAAGGGCATTTTCTATATTAATAGGCTTATTTATAGTTTCTAGTTTATTGGGCCTTTTCAGATTCGAAATATACAAAAACAAAGATAGATGTTTAGTTGTTTTGATTGATCACGCAAATGACTTTTTTTGTGTGTGAGACTGTGAGTGTTGTTTGTTGGGTTTTTAATGCATTTTACTTCTCAATTAAAGATGTTTCGGATAAAAACATCTGAATTTTTGTGCACAACTTATTCATGTAAAAATGCTACAAATGCTGCCATGAACAGAATGATAGTGGTGGTGCTTACGGCAAACAAGTTAGTGGCAAAAGAGGTTCAAGCATGGGTAAAAGCGGAAAAGAAGAATGTTGTTGATGATGAAGGATTTCAATGTCCATTTCCAAAAGTGGTAGCGAAATGTCAAAGTTCGGTAGCTACGGAGAAGTACCAGTGGAATTGACAATTCATGTGTTTGTAGATATAGAGACAGTTAGCTTTACAACTGATGCAACTGCATGTGATCTGGTGAAGAACATCAATGACATTTTAGCGACTAAATCAATGCATATAAACGACAGGTTTCATCGTTGCTATAAAACGAATATCTATCCAATTAAGGGTAAGCATGAGGAGTTTTGTGACTATCTGAAGAACTGCTCGTCAGTTATACACATGTGTAGAAAGCATGCGCTGCAAGAGAGTTCAGATGTCCAAATTGCATAGAAAAGCAATGTTGGTACGAAAGAGTGACCTAGTCCAATTAAAAATATTTGCTGCAATGGGATTTCACGCAAAGAGATTAAAAAAAAAAAGATATAAGAAGCCGATGATACTGATTATCTCAAATGATTTAAAACTCTCCACCGATCTACAAATGAAATTCAAGAAAGTTGGAGTAAGGGTGTTCGTCGGATCTCCTAATGGTGTGGAGAAAATCCAAATGTTTCAACTCGTGTAGTTATTTCATTTTTCTACTTTGTCCTTAGAAATGATAAAATTAACATGTGATGAACAATGTTACTCGTCGAAAAAAAAAATAACACAATGATCCTAGTTGTAGTAAAGGTCTTAAACAAGTATGACCTATATTTTATATATGTATATTGGTTTAAATGATTTACTCGAACCCAAAATGATTTATGATCACATCATCATTTGCAACACTGAAATACAACCATAAAAGATATCTAACGAGAAGCATGGCTTGCTCTACTATTATGCTGTAGCATCATAAAACATTAATTGTAATTTTTTTTAACATAGTTTCAAAATCGTCGCAACTTTCCGAATTTTGTATTCTTCTATACTAGTAGTGGTATATAGTCTAGCTACGTTAGTTTTTTTATGTTAGCTTTAAGTCCACATAATCAGCAATGACGTCTTTCTTCAAAGGATATAATTACTTGTATATCAAAAGACATGTTTGGGATTACAGACATATCATATGTAGAAACGACAAGAGTGTTAGGAGTATAGGAACTCACTTTCGGATAAGTGGTACGTGTTACCGGTCTCGCTCAATCTCTTCAAACTCTCTATGTCGTGGTTCGAATGGTCATCGATACACTAAACAATAGAACAAAAATCGAAACCATCAGGACATGGGTAGTCGTCAGAGGCAGAGATGAAGCCAGACTTAGCTTAGTGTTATTACTTATTACCCAGGGAGGTATTTGAAAATTTACAGCGAAATAGACCAAGGAAGTCGTTACAGAACCGACTAAACATTGAAATAAGTAAAAGAATAAAATCTTCTATTTTCCATACACTGGTCTTGTTGATTATCAACATCAGCGAGCTTCTCACAATTTGGTAGAAATTACTCAAACACCCACGACCTCTTTACTTCTGAAATTATTTGATTTAAATCAAAAAGATTCACCAAATTACATCCCAAATCTTCTTCAACCATATAAATAGAATAAAACGGAATAAAATCTGAGTTTTAGCATTGAGATCATAATGGGACAAAGCAAAATCATCATATTGTACAAGATTAAAGTCGTAATCTTAGGTTAAATCATTTTGATATGATATTTTGTTATTGTTACGGTTCCCACCATTATGCTGACGCGTAACCACATCATACTCCCTCTTCTGTTCTACCGATCGAGAACGCATTTCCAACTCTTTTTTCTTGTTTTCTTTTCTACTATTTTATTAGAAGGGACAATAAGGACAAAGAAATAATAACCGACAATACATTTGTTATGTAATTATTATTGAGCCATTATTAACTACTAGCAGTAGTAATAAAATAAGAGTTTCTGTTTTGTTCTTTGTCATGTAATGGAGCCTTTTGTCGTTTGGTTAAGCAAGTAAAATAATAATAGAGGCTTTTGTCTTTATTTGGCTTGTTTCTTCTGGTTTTATCTTCCAAAATGTCCAAATAAATCTTTGAGCATGCTACTTCAAATCCCGTGACACTTATAATTGAATTTGTTTTTCTTAGAGACTACTAATAAATTGGTTTGTCATTCACTTAGGAATTTTTGTCGTTATCTTTTTTCAACACGTCGGATGATTTATTTTTGGAATATGTATATACGCTTAATCATACAAACTAATGAAATTGCAATACACGCCCGAATATAATCAACATTAAGATAAGCATGGATAAGATGTAAATTTTTCTTATTTGTTGTTCCTTCTCGACATACATAAAAATAAACACACCCAATTCCACCCACACACACATATACTATATATATTACAAGTTGTATTAACATTGGGGAATTTAATCATGACACGAAATACCCTAGGTGGGGAACATTCCTATACATTATAAACACAAAAGTTCAACAATATATATTTAAATAAAAGAAAGCAAATTAAGTGGTAACTAGTTACGTTAATGGGATGATGAAAATATTATTAGTTAATTGAGAATCTTGGCAAAATCAAGGGACTTCTTGCCTTGGAGCTTGTTGGAGACATAGTGATAACTATAGTCACCATGATTGTAGCTTCTATACTTGCATGGGTTGGTTTCATCATCAACCAACTCACCCATTGGTTCTATTTCAACCTCATAGTTTGGTGCATAGAATGTCACTATTGTAAGCCTCTCTCTTTCTCTGTTTGTTACTGCTCTATGCTCCACACTCTTGTACTTCCCATTAGTTAGCACCTATACAAAAAAAAAGAAATTGATATAATTTGCAATTTTGGCTGAATAGTAGGAAAAGAACTAACGCTGATTGAAATCTAGGAAAATACCTCGATGGTATCACCAATGTTGATGACAAGGGCATTAGGAAGTGGTAGAACAGGGACCCAAGTGTTGTCTTTGAGGATCTGAAGCCCAACACAACTGTTCTTGCTCTGTTGAAGAACAGTGAGGGCACTTCCATCAGAATGTGGGCTAAGTCCCAAAACAAGATCAGGACTTGAACATGGAGGGTAATAGTTCATCCTCACTGCTTGCACTGCCTCTCCAAACATTTCCTCAAATCTCTCTTCTTTTAGACCCAAGCTTATTGCTATGTACTCCAACAACCTCTTGCATAGTTTCCTTATCTCTTTCGAGTAATCTTCAAGACTTTCACTATACAGAAATAATGTAATTATTTATGTAGTCAAAATATGTTTAGAAAATAAATTTAAAATAATATTGAAATATATCAAATACTTTCTAATTATTATACTAACACATGATCCACTAGAACCCTTTTTTTTTAATAATGATTTCGAACTCATATACAATCACAAACTATTTGAATCTGCGCGCCACATGCTCACAATTTAATTTACTATATATGATAATCATGAAATTTGAACAAAGGCTCCTAAGAAGATGAAATAATATGAATATATAAACATAGTTCAATTTTAGAAAAATCAAAATATTAAGGAGAGACTAATTCAACTCTACATCAGAAGAAGAAAAAATGAACACAAATAATTGTATTTAGGAAACATGAGGGATTTGTAGAGAACCTGAACCGGGCCGGTTTAGAAGGCCATAGTTTTGGGTTACGAATAGTAGGAGGATGAACACCAAGAGCAAACATGTTGCACCAATCAAGCTTCTGATCTTCAGAGAAGATGAAAGCTTGACCGTAACCTTGTACGGTCCCTGGCTCCATTGGATACTTCTTCTTCTCCTCCAATGGCAACTCGAAGAACTCCTTAGCTACGTTCTCTATATCTTCCACAACCTCCACTTCGATACCATGATTTATAACCTACATGTTGTAGTAAAAGAAGCAATGATGATATTCATATATAGTTCTAAAATATAATTATAAGTCACATCAAATGAAATAAAATTCATATTTATATATGGTCAACAGTCAACACATGTCAGAGGTCCAAGGTTTGGCCTAAGAAACCCAATAATCTAAAGAAAATAAGAACTGTCGAAAGAATGTGAATTTGAGTAATAAATCAAAATATGAATTTCAAGATAATATATCATAAATTACCTGGAAAAATCCCCAGTCTTCACAAGCTTGTGAGAGCTTAAGAATCTCAAAGAGGAAATTATCATGCGTGTGAGGTTTAGAGAGCTTAGAGAGATCAATAACAGGAATATGATGATGAAGTTGAGTCTTAAGTGACACTAAGACTCCTCTCTCGTTGGCTTCTCTTATGAATCTCTCTGGAACTTTGTTTGGTTTGGATTTGATCAGTTCTTGGACATCCTCTATTTTCCCAATTCTAATCGAAGAAATAGGTAGAGGAGACATATTGAAGCAAGCAAATCTAGAAAGAGATTTAAGTTTTTTTTGTTTGTTTTTGCTTCTTGTGTTCTAGCTAAAACAAGTGGGCTCTCTATATTGTGTGAGTCGTGAGAGAGTTCATACTTATAGAAGAAATACTTGGAGTTTAGTGATGTTTATTATTGTTTGCATGTTGTGGGTATAATTGAGTGTTGCAGGCTTTGTGGAGTGTGGGGTCCATTTTCTACACTTTTGAAATTCCTTTTTTTTTGTTAAAGAATTTTAGTGTTATGGCATAAGTTTTGTTAAAGAATTTTCGTCTATTATTATAATGTTTAATATTATATCAAATTTGTTTATTATGATCCATCCCTATACAAATTATTTCTAGTTCAACCACTAACTAAGTGCAGTCATTCTACTACCATCTAAGTTTCAAATTGGAATTATGCGTTTTATTGAAGAAAAAAAAAACTATCCTAAAATGATTTGATGTGTGAGTTTTAGGCCGAACTAGATTTTGTTGATAACAATGGTTATATTATGGGTTTCGCAATTTTTTGATAACAATGATTATAATTACTATACATATAACATATTTACTCCTCTTTACACGTACATGCTACGTAATATACCTACTATACATATTTACTCCTCTTATACGTACATGTTACGTAATTACTACATAGCTTTTACAATTTAAAGAAAACTATAATTTTAGTTATTTGGTAAAAGCAATAAAAATGAAAAGTGAATGAAACGAAATGAGAGGTGACTTTCGATCCCTATTTTATTTAGCCCCTCTATGTGTTATGTGTACCATCAGTGAACCGAAATTCGTTTGGCAAAGTTAAAACGTCAATTGTGGATATGTAAGTTTACTTTTGTTACATTTAAAAATTAGTAAACATGTAAAGAAGTCTTACTGTCTTAGATTCAGCGTTTTAGCAAAAAGAGAGATTCGTTGAGTTTACTTTGTTGACGTTTTACAGAATGAGGCAATGGCTTATAAATTTAAAGTCAAGTTTCTTGAAAATTCAGTTTTCCTAAAGTTTGCTTTTTCTTTTTTCTCCCAAAAAGCAACGTAGACCAATTATAGTTGATACTTTCCTAACCACATGCCAATTAGCTAATCAATAGACCACCCAAGTTACTGTATGTTCCGAAGTAAGATTGCTAATAACATCCACTCAAGATAATCGTCCTTATACATCTCGTAAAACAATCTCGTGATTCTCGTTATAGGATTCATTTGGGTCGGATCGATGTAAAGTTTGCGTTGGGTCAGTGTATGTTTGGGGTTTTAATTAATAACCTTAATTAAAGTCTTTAAACGATGTTATTTGCTAGTATTTGGGATTCCTAGCACATAAGTATATATGTTTGGAGTATGCCATTATTAAGTACTAGCTATATAGACAAAGCATCTGAAATAAACATAGAAAAAGAAAATAAATATCTCTAAGATTGAGCTATGTAGAGAAACAAGTGTATATACGTTTTTTAGAGGGTCACTAAAAATGTGATATATCTAGTGGTGGCTGAAATTCAACTTGCAAACCAATGTCTTATTTTGGGAGTCTTTATCTCACATTCGTTTGATGTTAACTAAAAAAATTACTCGAACTTGAACTTGTACGTCTCTCCCTCGTTCTCTCTCGACCACGAAGATGAAGATCAAAGTAGACTTGCAACCCAATGGGGGAAAAAAAGTACAAATATATTAGGATCATTTTTTTTTCAAAAAAGGAAAAGGAAAAAGAGAAAGGGCACACTAAATGTGGAGAGGGTGAGTTTGAAGATATTAAAAATTGTGGGGTTAAAAAAGAAGTAAGTGGGTACGTTAAGGTAGGGGCCAAAGTTTGTGTGTGTTTATGAGTTTCAGAGAGAAAGTGATGTGCCGACCAAATCTAGTGATCTTCTCGTCGCACTTCCTTCCCACATTGTGCCTTCTCTCTTTTTCCTTGTTCTGCCATTTTTTTAATTGTTAATTGTATTAGGCATTTTCATATTTATTAATATAAAATCACGTTGTATAACGTTTTGACTCACCAACCAAAAAATCAACTTAAAATGTCTTTTTATTTAAAAGTTATTTTAAGTTTTTTAACCTTCTAGTGTATGTACATCAACATAAGAGAGTGCCTAGTTAAACTCTAGAGACAATGAATCTAGAAGTGCAGTGAAAAAATAATTCTGAGGAATCTTTTCTGCTTTTTGACGAAATGTTTAGAGGAATCTTATTCATTACAACTTGACCATAAAGTTTAACAATGTGTGGGAGGAAAATAAAAAGCTTTTCCGAAGAAAGAGGAATCTGTCTGTTTTGCTATCATTATTACGTCTTATGACAAAATAAACACAATTGCTTAGTACTAAGTACTAACACAAGCACATCTAAATTACATAAAAGATAAACACATAATGAAACAATATTTGTTCTTTATGGTTTGTGAATCTTTTTTCTCAAATGACTGTTTTGCTTCAATATCCTTTGTACAAACAGTAACATTTTGGGCCACTAAAACTTGAAGAACTTAGAAATAAATTATTTGTTCTCTGACCTTATCGACAAAATACTGTCATAATCCAATTATTCATCTCCAAAATGCTACAGTACTCATCAACCGTCTATCATTTTTTTTTAAGGATGTGTGTTCTTTCTCTGTAAAAGAGGATCAAGATCATTGCAAATAAGCTTATGAGCAAACAAATCAATGCTTCATAGTATTCTTGGGTTTCTTATTATCTTTATGGAAAGATTCGCAGAAGCTTGAAAGAAAGTGAAATCTTATTCTTGAATGACTTATCTCAGTTTACAAGATGTAGCAGCCGATGATTCAAATCTCAGAACCACATATTCTTCATAAACTATAAAGTTATTATTGAGGGAATTTAGAGTGTGCAACTTTTGATTAATGTAAATTTTAAGTGAACAAATTCGCAGTTCTAGAAATTGGCTGGAATTTTTGAGGAGAAATATATATTTCAAAACTTTGATTCTTTTTTTTTTCTTTCAAAATTTTAATTAATTCACTCTACATTAATTGCTTTACTTGTTCTAGTTTTGATTTCTGAAATTAGATAGTTGAACATTGTTGTTACACGTCATCTTTTTTTTGGGTCAAAAACACGTCTCTTTCAAAATAACTTATAATATAGTATGAAATCTAGTGTTATTAGAAACAAATAAAAAAATTAATTATTTTAAATATTTCAAAAATAAACTGATTTCCAAAGTATAATTATAAGCCACATGTTGTCAAAACAAAGTTTATATAAGCCACGTATGTTAATATTAATATTAGACAGGAGTGAATATCACAACTTTAGGAAATTTAGAGGAACTTTTGAGGTAAAATATATATTTTCAGTTTTTTATTTTTTTTTCTTTACTTAACTTACTTTAATTGCTTTTTTCATCTATTTTAGATTTGAGAAATTAGACAAGTTGCCAATGGTTGGTCCGAGTGTCACCTTATCTCCAAATCTCTAATCAGATTAGTTCTTAAAATTTTCTTTCTAATTAAGATAACGTGGGTGAGATCTCAACATTTTTATATAAGACTCATCATGCATAGATGATATACATCTATATATTCAAAAAGATCAAGAAAGTGAGAAACCACAATACATCCGCTGTGCCATGGATTCGAAAGAGTGTTCATTGCTGCCTTTCGAATTATGTGAGGAAATACTTTGTAGAGTTCCAACCAAATCTCTCGCACGATTCAAGTTAACGTGCAAGCGATGGCTCGCTCTTTTCAATGACGAGAGATTCATCAACAAGCACTTGCCTCTCATCCATGAGCAACTCATACGGACCAATGATCGTAAGGTTAAGATCATCGATCCCACGACCGGTTCTTGCTCATCTTTATCACTTCCAGACGAGTTTCAAGCTAAGCCTGAGATCTATACTATGGTTCACTGCGACGGATTATTGCTATGCATCTTGGAATCGTCTGCGATCGCAGTTTGGAACCCATGCCTGAACCAAGTTAGATGGATCAAGCCCAAATGTTCTTATCCGGTTAACTGTTTTCACGGTGGCATTGGATACGACGGTTTATCTCGGGATGGCTACAAGATCTTGAGGTTTGTGAACAGCGTTTTCGCTAAAAACGAGTACGCAAACACAGGATCTTACAATCCAATGGTTGATATCTACACTCTCAACTCTAATTCTTGGAAAACTTTTAAAGTTTCTTTGGATTGGCATGTGGTTTCGCGTTGTAGTAGAGGTGTGTCACTCAAAGGAAACATGTATTGGGTTGCTAAATGGAATTATAAACCGGGCTTCTTCATCCAAAGTTTTAACTTCTCTAAGGAGACATTCGAGCCCTTGTGTTCTCTTCCCTTTGAGTACGGTGCATCTGATGTCGTAGCTTTGTCAGCTTTCAGAGGAGATAATCTTTCTTTGTTGCACCGAAGCGAGGAAACAGATAAGATGGAAGTTTGGGTCACAAGCAAGGTCATGAACGGAGTAGACCTCTCGTGGACCAAGTTCTTTAATGTGACGAGCCCTAATCTCCCGGTCTTGCGTGCTTGTGAAAGTCTTGCTGGTCCGGCGCATTTTATTGATAAGGATAATAGGATTGTGTTAGGTTGTGAGGAAGTATTAGCAGATGATATAAACGTAAGTGTCAACATTTATCTTATTGGAGAGGGTGGGATCATAAGACAAGAGGTAGAACGACATAGGCTAGGTTTTAGTTGGCCTTTTATCTTTGGCTATGCGTATCTTCCAAGTCTTGTTCCGATTCCAACATTGGAAGGATTAATTTAACCGAATGAAACTTGTAAGGTTGTTTTGTGATATATTTCTTTTTATATTATAAACTCAAGAGTATTTTAAATATTTTGTTACAGTCATGTGATGTGTAAGAACAATTTTTGTTGAAATGCAACTTTGACTAAATAACTCAATTTTACATATGCTTTGAAATTGTTTTTCTTAATTTTCATGGGTCTGAAATATATCATCCATATCACACATATGGGCTTTGATCCACAATTTTCCTTGACCAAAAAAGTAAAGGCTTTTGAGGTTCAATATGCAAATTCGATTCTCCAGGGGGTAAAAATGAAAAGAAGAAAAAGATGGTTCTGTGTTACTCAGAGCGGGCGCGTGTAAACCCTTCAACGCGAACACGTTCCTCACTTCCTTCTTCGTTCCTCCTTCATCTGAAGTTCTTCTCTCTCTCTCTCTCTCTCTCTCTGTGCCTCCTTCGAAATATGAAGAACGCAACTGAAGCTGATTCCACTACCGTTTGATTCATATTCTCCGCCATTGTAATCAATCGGAATGCGGCAAAAAACAAACCTAAAATTCTATTTGCGTTTGTAATCCCTAAGAGTCTTTGCGCCTGAAGTGAGATAAAAGAAGGGTGTTTCTGCGTAATGGGTCAGCAATTGCGTCGAGCCGTTGGGAGAATCAGAGAAGTTGAGAGATCACCATCTTCTACATCAAGGGTCGCCGTCGATCGGAGATCGATTCCAACGGAAGAGCTCAGCGCCGGAAAATCTCCGTCTACTGCCGCCGTGAATGGTGTTTCTGGTAACCAAAATCTTGTTCTTCACTATTTTCTGTAGTCTAAATCATCCCTAGCTTTTGGGTAGTCGAAAGTTGTCACATTTCTCTAAATTGATGGTGAATTGTGTGTTGTTTCATAACCAATTTCGAACCTCAATGTTCGTTTTAATCAGAATTATTTGGGTATATCTGATAGATGAAGCTGGAAGAAGCAGTGATGATAACGAATTAGAAGAACGAGACCCTAAATACGATACAATGTTGAACCAAATGGTGGGGAGAATAAGGGCTAAACCTGGAGGCAAAGCTGAGATGGGAGAGGTTAGTAGTGTCCCCTCTTGTTAAGTATGTATGTGCTTTTGAAATTTTGATATAGATCCATTTGATTGATCGATACATAAACGCTAAGCCTTGGCTCTAGTTTCATCGTTTTTGGTTATGTAATTGTTGCTGAGAACGGTTCTTGGAAGCCTTTTTGTACACAAAAACCTTCCGGATGTTGATCTTAGTGTTGATTATGATTGGTGGTGTTGATTAAGTTGAGGATAAGAGATGAAATGTGAGAATACAGATGATGCAAAAACTATAGTATGACTTTATAAGTGGGTGTATAGTTGCGGATTTTGGTCTTTCTGTGTTAAATCACAGGAACAGATTTTGTCTGTATATAAACAATGTTTAGACTTTGTGGATTTATAATAGGCGTCGTTAGTGGAAACATCGAAAAGGCCACTCCCAAAGCTCAGGAACACAACTCCTGAATCAACAAGGTATGAGGAAAAACCAGTGCCTCAAGGAACGTTGAACGTAGCACAAGTGAGACACATCATGCTTCTCTATCAAGGCAAGGCTCAGGATCACAACGGTCCAATGAGTGTGGACGAGATAGCCAAAAATTACAGGATCGACGTCTCCCAGGTCCAGAAAATCACACAGTTCCTTTCTTTGCCTCCAGAGGTTACTGATAAGCAGAAGAAACGATATGAATAACGTTTTTTAAAAAGGCTCTCTGTTTGGTTCATTCATATACTCAAAGAGGTTTTCTTTTGACCTTTGCCAGTTTTAGAAAGTTTTGTGCTTCGATGTGTAACACAGAACCAGAGAATGACATTGACTTAGAAATGTTTGGTCTTTCTCTGAGCAAATAATGTTAAACTGTGTAGCTAAGAATACTAAGCTTTTTTTCCTTAAGCCATGATTCTTTTCAAATCCAGTTGGAATTTGTTTTCATTATTCAATATAACTTTAAAGTACCAAAAGAAAACCCATTAACCTAAAGCTTAGTTGCTTGATCCATTTCGACCCGGAGAACAATTTGAGATTTTTTCGATAAAAGAAAACTGGTTGAAATTAATAAAAATATCACAGATTCGCAATTACATCACAAGATAACCAAGATTTTATTTTGTGGTACATGTTATTAACAGTGTTACAAACTCCACAACAACATAAGCACACAAACCGAACTAGTGCGAAAGACCTTATTCAAACATTCCACTTACCGTTTACACACGTACAATGACAATTTCTAAACCACAGCTTTTTTATATATAGCTCGTTTTTTATTTAGACCGGGACTCGTTAACGAACACATACTCTTAAATCCACTACTTGGAAATGGGCTTGGCACCGGCAGCTGATCCAGCTGGCTTAGTGGCCGAAGCAGTACCACCGGCAGACGAAGGAGGAGCGAAATAAGCTCCAAGAGCATTAAGAAGCTCGCCGCCTACTCGTCCATGGAATCCAACAACTTTGCCACCTTTCCTGTCCTTGAGCTCGTGTTTCTGCGGACCCTCGAGTCCGAAAGGTGGTGAGGTTTTGCCTTTGGCTGTTTTGAAGATTAAGCAGGTGATAACGTCCGTGTCGTCCCCAAAGATCCTGTCCGATTGCACCTCCACTGATGTGATGTAGTCGTCTGGATCAACCTCAAACTATATACAAAGAATCCTTTTTAGGTTAGTTCTTTACATATACAGTGAAAACAAAAAATTACACTAAACACAAACCACTTCTGCTCCGAGCAAGGTCTTCTTTCCGTGTTCACGTGTTTCCCTGTTACCGGCCTTCTCGTACTCGAACTTGACGTAAGTGACACCAGAATCACCTTGTCCAACGTACACTTTTCTTACATGTTCATGAGCACCATCGTCCCATGGTGTTCCTCCTTTCCCACCTTGGGCCTCCACTTTGTTGGCTTGGCCCAAAGCCGAAGATGGGGATGAAGAGGAAACGGAAGATGGTAAAGGAGCAAAGTGGACGTCGATGGAGTTGAGAACATTGCTGCTGATTCCTTGAAAACCAGCGATCTGGTTATCTTTGGGTGCATGGATGGAGAATTGGTTCCCGGTTTTGTTTCCGTAAGGCCCATATTCGGTTTTGTTGGTCTTAAAAGCCAGTGCTGCTACAGCATCTTCAGCACCCGAAGACTTGTAGTAGCCAGTAACATCTGTTATGTACTCGTCTGGGCTCAAGCTCACCTAAAATAAAATAAAATAAATTACATTCGATCAAAACTAAACACTAAATATATATGTTGATAGGTCGTGAACACTAACGCCGTCAGATTTCCTGCCAGGATTGCCGTGACGCTTGGGATTTTGGTCATCTTCATACTCAGCCTCTATGGAGTTGATCACATCTTCATATGTAACCTGCACTCTCTTCACCTTCATGTGCATCCCATCGTCCCAAGACATAGTTGCGGCCGCCATTATTGTATCTGACCATTTTGATACCGAATGTTATAATTTCCATAAATATTCATATGAAAAAAATAGCTACGTTCCTTTTTCTCTTGGATCATGCAGCTACGTACTTTTTATACATCAGATATATTTATATTTCATCGTATTGTGTAGTTGTAACGCTTTAATAAATACAAGTAATAATGAAGTGAAGCATTAGAGAGAGAGCAAGTACCTTGTTGTTATTGTTTTTTCTGTTTATACAAAGAGATAAGAGAAGTTGGTGTGATAATTGGGGATGCATGCAAGTGCATTTTATATACACAGAGATACACATTTGGATAAGTCGATAACCCAAAACCAAACTTGTGGTCCTAAGATCACACGTTACTCTACATGACACTTGTCCAACTTGTTAAAATTCTTGCAACGTCCACTTATGACCCTTCTAAATCAAACACTTGGCTTCGATATCCACATGTGCTTCCACAGAATCATACACTTAACCCTTAACAGCCAGATGTGAGAGCTATTCGACATACACATACGAATTTTACGCCAGATAATTGAGAAGACAGCAATAGACAAAATGAAAATGTGCATGCAGTAGTGAGAGAAATGAGGAGACAAGAATAGACAAAAATACGGTGTGCATGCAATAGTGAGAGTGAAAAAGAGACACGTACGTGGCTTTGAAAAACTCAGTGTGCATGTAATAGTGTAAAACACACTTGGCGGCATACACTATTGGTTATGAAATTCACACTCGATCGGCTACTACATACATACAACTATATAAACGACGATATTCCCTTTGTACATGATCTATATTCCAATAACATAGTAGTTCCACTTTGTTTTCAAACGTCTTTACCAAGAAACACACTTGTCCGCTTATACAAATAATCAACAATGAAGTTTCCTCTATTGGGGTTACTTTTGCTCCTAAGTCTTGTCGGCTCTTCGACCAGGGCCGAAGAAGGACCTGTTTGCCCTAAGACCGATACTCTTAGCCGTGCAAGTTTCCCGGAGGGCTTCATGTTTGGTACCGCAACCGCGTCCTATCAGGTCTCATACAAACGTCCTATACTATAAGTCAGGAGATAAAAAAACTAAAACAAAAAGAAATGATTATGTAAATGCTAAATATTGGTTAAAATATAGGTTATATAATTTTCTTATAATACTTTAGTAGTTTAATCCTTTAAAACAAAAACAAAATCATAAACAACACTGAAATAATAATACAGTCAGTAGTGTACTCTTTAAGTGAAAGAAATGTTGGGAGATGTAATTACTAAAAGTATAATGCGTGTTTGTGGTGAAAATAGGTGGAAGGTGCCGTAAATGAAGGTTGCAGAGGTCCAAGCTTGTGGGATATCTACACCAAGAGATTTCCACGTCTGTCTCTCTTCTTTTCTGTTTGTTTATACGACGAAATTGCCTTTTAGCTTCTTTTTTGTTGTTGTTGTTCTTGTTTGTCAACGTTTTCACTTAACAGTCATTAATTTGTTTCCAAAGAGGAGTTCAATTTGGTTTACGTACTGGCAAGGCATCTAGAAACGAGATGAACTTTGTTTCACTTTTTCTTAAACAGAATACATAAACTTTGACTTTTTTGGTGTAAATTGAAATTTGTTTACATAAATAAGTTAGTCTAGGCAATTATCAAAATCGGGGTCTTAACATAAACGAATATATTTTGCATTCGCATAATAAGTTGTTCATTACGCATATCGGATCGTTCATATATGATTTCTTAGCTAATATATGAAACTGCAGATAGAGTTAAGAATCACACCGGTGATGTGGCCGTCGATTTCTACCATCGCTACAAGGTATTTTTTTTTTTAAAAAAAAGCTGCGATTACATGTTAAACTGAGTAAAGTCCATATAATGGGTTTAGAATTTGTTCACAAGTAGATAATTTTCTATAAAAAAAAGCATTTTTGAAATTCCAGGAGACATATATATTTTCTTATTAAAAAACAAATACTTTCACTTAGAGAGCCTCTAAAGTCCTATTTAAATTAAACTAATGTTCGTTTGCTATAAAATTTAATAGGAGGATATCCAGTTGATGAAAAAGCTGAACACTGATGGTTTTAGACTCTCCATTGCGTGGCCTAGAATATTTCCCCGTAAGTTAAAAACATTCGTGAGGTTCTTTTTTTTTAATAATCCATTAAACTATGGATTAGTATTGGTTGTAATAACAGCTAATAATTAAATAATATAACAGATGGGAGGATGGAGAAAGGAATTAGCAAAGAAGGAGTTCAATTTTACCACGATCTTATAGACGAGCTCCTTAAAAATGGTCACATGATCTCTCAGTACTATCCATCATTACATCTAAATTTTAATTAATCATAGTAACTGAAAAAAACTAACTCTTCAATATTGTTTCAGACATCACACCATTAGTAACGGTTTTTCATTGGGATATTCCCGCTGATTTGGAAGATGAGTACGGTGGCTTTTTAAGCGAACGTATAGTGTAAGGCTTTTGTACTATGTCTCTCTAAATCAAACTCATGTGTTCTCTAATATACGTAAACAAACATCAGTAATACTTATATATATACTCTTATATATACATAGTCCGGATTTTTTGGAGTACGCAAACTTCACGTTCCATGAATATGGGGACAAAGTGAAAAACTGGATTACGTTCAACGAGCCATGGGTCTTCAGCCGTTCAGGCTACGACACCGGGAAGAAAGCACCGGGACGTTGCTCTCCGTACATCAAAGAATATGGACATCTTTGCCACGAAGGACGATCAGGATTCGAGGCTTATGTCGTCAGTCACAACTTACTCATCAGTCACGCTGAAGCCGTTGATGCTTTCCGAAAATGCGAAAAGGTAGAACAAACAAAAAAAACCTTTTTCCAAAATTTATATATGACGTATAACAATCAAACCAACTTTTGATTTGTTTGGTTTTGGGATATTCTTGAAAGTGCAAAGGTGGCAAAATCGGAATTGCTCATAGTCCGTTCTGGTTTGAACCGACAGATGTGGAGGGAGGTCAAGCTACCGTAGACCGTGTGCTTGACTTTGTCATTGGCTGGTAAAGAAACAAAAATGATCAGTTCTTGATATTTCTACATTCGTATGCAAATAAAGATATGATGATGATGCTCTTCAGGCATTTGGATCCTACAACGTACGGAGATTATCCTCAAAGTATGAAAGATGCGGTGGGACCTCGATTGCCCAAATTTACAAAAGAACAAAAGGCAAAACTGAAAGATTCCACAGACTTCGTGGGGATGAACTATTACACTGCTTTCTATGCAAAGCAAAACGACAAGTACGATCGTCGGCAAGTCTCTTGGGCTACAGATTCTCTTGTCGATTTCGAACGTAAGATTAATTCCTTTTCGTCATTAATTTGCCAATACAATAATATATCATCGTTTATGCTTACATGTTTCCGTTATTCTTATTACTATTTAGAATATTTTTCACCTATTCACGTATAAATCAAGTCCAGTGTTATTGAAAAACATTTTTTGCTTATTTTTTTTTTACATTTTCAGCCAAGACTGTGGATGGATCCGTTAAAATTGGTAGTCAGGTACACAACATATTTCTTCTTTTTAGTTACGTTCTTTATAATATATGAATTTTAATTATCATTTCTTTTATATATTGTAGCCCGACACTGCTAAGATGGCTGTATACGCAAGGGGTTTAAGGAAGCTTCTGAAATACATAAAAGACAGATATAACAGCCCTGAGATCATCATCACTGAGAATGGTTACTGAAAATTTGATATATGTTTTTATTATAATATAAATTGGTATAAATTACTGTTTTCTTACTAATTGAATTTTCGAAATATTTTTTAATAGGTTACGGGGAGGACCTTGGCGATAAAGATACAGATCATAGCGTTGCTCTCAATGACCACAACAGGAAATACTATCTCCAGAGGCATCTTTTGGCCTTGAATCAAGCTATATGGTGAGGAGATCATTTATGATAGGCTTTGATCTTCTTCTTTTTTTTTTTAATAACAAATGTTTCGTTTTGTCCGTTTACATTCGATCCTTGTTGCATTTGCAGTGAAGACAAGGTGAATGTTACATCGTATTTCTTGTGGTCTTTAATGGACAACTTTGAGTGGCAAGACGGGTACACAGCTAGGTTTGGTATCTACTACATCGACTTCCAGAACAACTTGACTCGTATTGAGAAAGAATCTGCAAAATGGCTCTCTGAATTCCTCAAACCGGGACTTAAACCATCCAAGTCTAAGCTCAACGAAGAGCTCTAAAGCCAAAGTTCCCTGCGAGATGATGATCTCGAAGCTTAAAAGTCACGTAGGACAATAAAAGAAGGATGAGTTTGTGTTCCTGAGTTCTTCTTAGTCTCTTGTGTGTTGTAATTAAAACTGTTTTAAATAAAGCAATGGGTTGCTACTATACCCAAATATGTACAAAAGCTGCTTTAAATTCTAAGAATCCAAAATCTTTTTACATTAAACGGGGGATGAGAGAGTCTATTTGCAGAGTGATGCAAGAACTCTGCGAGGAGGATCAAACGGTCTTCGAGAGTGAAGAACCGCCCAGTTATCTATAAGCAGAACATCTCCTCTCTGCCATGGAACAGCAACACATTCCTCTTCAAGGATTCTGAGACAGTCGTGGACTATATCCGCCGGTAAGGGCTTTCCGTCGCCGAAAGTCACGGCCTTTCTTGGATCGTTCCGCTTATCCTCCCATCCCGTGTAAGCAGCAACCATGCTGTTGAACCACACTTTCCGGTTTCTCGACTCGTCGTACTTGATACCCGGAATCGGACCCATTGTCGTCTTGGCTCCGTCCTCGGTCCATTCCAGTTTCATCCCCAGTTTAGCTGCCCTGTCATCAATTCAAAGTCGTCTCAAAGTGTTTATCAAGAAACCATAAAATATGATGAGACAGTACCTTTCCTCAGCGACGTTCTTGTCTTGTGTCAAGAATGTGGATTTCCAGCCACGGCCAATTGGTGAAGATGGATCATCTTCTTCCCCTAAAACCCTAACATAGAGCAAACCATGTTCCTCCAGTCTCTGAACAAACTCTGGATGTTTTTCTCTCATCCTCTCGTACACAACATGACTCAGAACAATGGGTGTCTCTCCTCCAGACTTGGGCTCTATCTCACAGTAAAAGAACAACTTTGATGGAAACTCAGGAACCTAACACAACCATCAAACAAAACTTTGTGCTATAAGCATCTTCAAAAGTCCCATCAATTTCAAAATCAAAGATTGTTAAATTAGATTCAGGTACAGAGAGTTCAGCGATTTTTTCTTCAGTTTTGCTCAAATCTGATGGATCATTGTAAGGTGATATAATTCGTTCAACAACAAACCTGAGCCATCTCGTGGTGAAAGGGGATCTTCTGGTCAGGAGGAGACTCGTTGGCGGTGAAGACACGACCGACGACGCTAGTGCGTGGCGCGGCGCCTCCGACGTAAGGAAGCTCATCGAAACCGAAAGCCTCGACGACGTCGTTGAACTCGTCGGCGGAATTCACCGGGAACCCTCTGAAGAGCACGGCTCCGGAATCGTGCAAGAGGGAGTCGAGATAGCGTTTGTGGTTGCTGATAGTCTGAGTGAATAGTGGGAGAGACGGTGCCGGGATCGCCGATGACGGCGAAATTACCGCCGGGAAAGGCTTCGATTCGTAGTGCTTTTGCTGTCGGATTCGAGTTTCCACCAACGATTCCGCCATTTTTGTTTCTGATTTCAGTAATTTTTTTTTTTTTTTCGGTTCTGCAAAAGTCTGTTGATGGACGCAGTTCGTGTCAGTCTAATACTTGGCACATGTTTTTGGTTATTGGGATATTATTATCATCTAACGATATGTGACTATCGTACTAATTTTCATGATTAATATGGGGGACCTTTTAACACTCTGAATGATTTGTTTTACAATACTTAATCTCCGATTAATTTGAGATCATTACAGAAAATCACTTTTAGTTCATCTTTAAAATAGGACTCTAACACATAAAGCTTAAGGAATATTCGAATCATGAATTGGATAAATTAAACGTTGTTGCAACATTATAAATAGATATACAACTTTAATAGTGGTATTAACAAGCTTAGCTTAGGTTCATCCGTCAATCCTTTGAGGCCATGGATGCTGAACGTATTCTTCAAATCATGCCTAAGATTCATCTCCAGGACAAAAAGATCCGGGGTTTCTCAAGGAATGGGTGTTAAGACTCACAAAGTGGTTATAAATTCCTTGAATCTCTCTCTGAAGCCAAAAATCCGCCAATGAGAGTGATTCATATGGTGGAGAAACAACTATGGAAACAACTATGGAAGTCTAAAACTTCTCAGAAGATTAGACATTTCATATGGAAAGCTACGTCTGGAGCCTTGGCTGTCTCAGAAAGATTACAAACCCGGAATATACCTTTAGATGCAACATGTGGAAATGCAACGGAGACAATATGTCGCATGCTCTTTCGTTGTTGTAGGGCTAAAAAAGCATGGGAGATATCTCAATTTCCAGTTCCTACTTGGGGATGGTCTCCAACCTCGGTTTTCTTAAACTTCCACCACTTGCTTTCGCATAGTAAGAAAATAGAGCTACCGGCAGACATACGATTCTCCTTTACGTGGATTCTTTGGCAAATTTGGAAGGCATGAAATGCACGAAATGTGGAAAAAACCTCCACTAGACACTCCCAAATGCAACATTGGTTCATCATGGATCAATCCGAGAAGGAAGTGTGGAGGTGCATGGATTTTAACGGATCACAACGGGATAGTCCTACTTCATAGCTGAACGTGTGATTATCTCACCATTGAACATGGGCTCGTGAAGCACAAGTCCAATGTATTGTCTGGGCAGTGCAGGAACTCTCGCACTTAAAGCAAAGACGAGTAATCTTTGAAGGATCCCTACCTCTGGCGAGAGAAGCTATACTCCATCCGGAATATTTTCCTCTGCTTCACTCAAATATCAGTTTGATCTTGAGCTCATTGGCCTCCTTTGATTTTTGGAGTCTCGATCACACCACAGAAGACACAAATCAAGCTGCTTTAGCTATTGCAGTCAGTGTTACCAGAGATCACCGTTATCAGTCTTACGTAGCTGCACAAGGTCCCTTTTGGCTCCAAAAAATCACCTCTGCGGAAGCTAACGTGTTTCCTACCTGAATTTTCCAAAATGGTGATCCTCTTTACGGGCATTTGAGAGAATTTCTAGACACGAGTCTCTATCTCTTCTCACTCTCATTCTCATATACTCTGATTTAAAGTCTTTTTGCCAAGATCGAGTACCTACTGGTCTCTCTGTTTCCCTTGCCCACTTGTAACCGTGAAACTTAGGTCCCTCTTTGGGAACCATTTTGAATAATCATCAAGCGTTAAAAAAAAAAAAATGCTTAGGTTCAGTAGGCATTGACCTTGAGCTTAACTTAATTAACAGCAACGGCAAATAAGATTCCCGATCCTTTCCCTTCTAGTAACGTGAGAGTCTACCCAAAAAGAGAGGATAAGGTATAATAACAATTTAATTTAGGTGAAATGAATAATTGTTGAGAAAATTTAGCCGGTTCTGATTATGGCTTTTGGTATATACAAGCTTTTATCTAAGTGTGTGTTTACATATCCATGATCGCTCTTCAACTTTTGTGTTGTTGTTTGAATATAACATTGTAAAACCTATTATTTTCTGGTTGCAAATATATAATGTATTTAAAAACCTTATGTGCATGGATTTTTACAACTCTTGAGAATCTGGATGTTTGAATTCAACGGTATGCGAGACGTCGATGCTATTAAATACTTTTGGTCTAAATAAGAATTGAAGACTTGTTAATATTGCATTCAACTAATTATCCGCAGAATTCTGAATCAATTAAATTTTAGTCAAGGTTGCATGCATATCCATTTGGAAATCAAGATTAAATATACAGTTGACCTTTGTCACAAAAGAAAATAGTTGACTTTTTCTACCAAACCTAGCTAGGTGGATCCCGTATTTATTAACATCTTCAACCTATATTTGTAGTTTGCTTTGGAGTTGGACTACATCATAAATGTAGAACACTATAAATTCTCCTTTTTGTTTTCAGATAAGAATTTCAACATATATATGAACTCCCTAATTAGGTTTCCGTCTTTTTTTTATGGTTCTTCATCATCTTCACGGATAAAGGACAACAAAACTAACTTGTAGACTTAAAAACTCATCATCAAAACTCCAAAAGTTTTCTTATTCAAAGCTTAAAGAGTGGTACAGTTTTTACTTATTCATACATACAAATATTAAATACATATCTGACATTTTACAATATCCCCTTTCATAACAACGTCACAGTCGTTAAGGACCATTGGGACAACGACATGGGCAGCAATAGCCCGGTGCAGCTGGTGCGCAACACACACACTGTGGACACATGCGAATTGGTGGTGATGGTACCATCAGCTTACGCCCTCCACCTTTTCATTAAAAAAAAAAAACATAATTTTCAATCTTTAAAAAAAAAACTTAAAAAGAATTGTAATATAGAAGATGAAGAAATTCAAAGACAATTAAATAGCTTACCTCCTAGATGCACGCTAGTTGCCTGACATGTGAGTAGTACTGTTGGAGACAAAACCAGCACAAGAACAAAAACATATAAGAGGACGTTGTATTTTGATGACTTAGTTTCCATCAGAGCTTTTTTTTATGTGAATTGGTGGTGATAATGTAGTTGAAATAAATCGATTTGATAGCTATTGAAGCTTGAAACCATGGTAAGATTATGTTTATATAGCTTGGTAGAGAGAGAAAGTAAAAGCACAACAAGTTGGCCAAGAAAACGACTTAACAATAAAATAATTTAGAATCAAATCTTGAGTGTTACAATGACCAAAATAAGCCATTATTAGTTTTGATGATGTAACTATCTTTTGAGTTCACATGGTGATTGTTAATTTCTTTATTTACATGTTAGATATCGAAATAAATACATGATGCAACTGTTGCAACTAAATCTTTACTCGACAAGTTGTTCATTTTTTTTTAAAAAAAAAGCTAGAAAACGACAACATCAATATAGCAAACACAATTGTTTTACGGATAATATAATGAAGATTAATCAGGTGTGGGAATATATCGTTTGCAGTTTATCTCTTATCAGTAGTGAACTTATCGTTTGCAGTAAATCTCATCTGCATCCTGTTTTCAACGAGTTATGGTATGCCTATACATACTGTAGAGAGCACTCATGCAAGAAGAAAACTTAGATAAGAGACAAGAAGAAATATGTTTTATGAATCAGTCACTGTCTTATAAAAAGCATGAATTTTTGGACATACTGTAATTCTCTCTAGCTTGTAACTTTGGACATAATTCTATCCTGCTTTAGAAAAGAGGCTACACGTTAGAGGTCGCCTATTTTCCTTTTGTCTTGAGCTTGCTCGATTTGAGCCAAACTCGGGACATAATTAAGAATAGCTGTTCGATATCCATCCGATGTATCTATTCCAAAATCCTTTTGTGTGATGACTTCACTGTCCTCCCCAACAACGTATAGCATTTCTTTGGCCTTGTCTTCCAAGCCAATCATGTAGGACCAAATCATGACGACTTTCTTCTCCTCGTCGAGGAGGAAACTTGCACCATTACAAATTTGAAGATTAGTTAATGCTAGGATCTTGCTCCACGACACCTCTTTGGAGGTCTCATCAATCTTACTTGTTACCCATATCTCAGCTTTGGATGTAACATCGCGCTTTAATAACACCGAGAGCTTCTCGTCTTTGACAGCGGAAAGACATCTAGCTTCAAAATCATCACACTGGTAGGGAAGAGGCACAGGTACTGCTCTCTCTGTTGCAAAATCATATCTGGCCAAGGACATATTGGCTTGCGGTTTTGTTCTATCATCAGCGAACCAGTAAGTACTTCCCTTCAATGACACGTTGGTCCAACTGTTTCTAAGGCTCCAGCCTGGATCCATGACATCATCGAGAATCCTCCACGAATCAGAGCTGAACTCGTAGATTTCATAATCATTGCGAAAATCATAAAAGCTCAAGACTTTGTAGCTCTTCTTGTTGCCTTCTTGGTGGTATCCGAGAACAAACTTGCGGTTCGGGTACCTTTTGCTGGGTTGGAACCACCTGGTTTCACCGGTGAACGGGTTCCAAACCACGAATCTAGATCCGTCTTGGAGGGTGCATAACAAGAAGCCGTCACAGTGAAACACTTCACCTACATCGAATTGACCTGAAGACAGCGGATCCACCAGGCTAAGCTCAGTTTTCACCTCTACAGATGGAACTGTTGCGTCGAGATTAACGATAATCGGACAAATCCTGTAGTCCTTCGTCAGAACCAGAAACTGCTTTGCCGCTTTCTCAGTGTGCTTTCTTGCGAATCTTCCATCACCGTAGCCGGCACGCAACTCAGTATCTCCTCCTCTACCAACTCCTTTGGAAGATCTCTGATTGTCGTCATCGCCATTGCAGAGCGCCAGAGAGTGGATCTCAATACGAATATCTAGGGATTGCACTTTTCAGTTTTAACGTTTCCTCTTCGCCAATTCTTCTTATTAACAGAGAAAATAGAAAAGGAAATTTAACAAATAAAGCCCATAAACCCTAATTTCAAACGCATCCACAATGGGAAACAGAACAAAGCAAAAGCAGACGCAAAAAGGTGAAGAAGACATTTACCACTCGAGCTGCAAAGACGCTACAAAGACATAATATGTTAGCAACGGTGTGACTTTCTCCGGACCATCCCTCTGTTGCTTACGAAACTCCAACAGGTTTGGGTCAGTTGCATCACTGATCACATACTCTAGGCCTACCACCGAGTGATTCAATTGTTTCTTTGAATCATTCTTTTTGCCAATAACTTTTGTTTTTGGGAGATCACCTTACTCTGCAAGCTGCGGCAGATCGTGTAAATTTTTTATTTTTTTTTAAAGAAACAACAGTTTGAGTTTACTTATAAGACTACAACAGTTTATAAATAACACAAAGACATTACATGTAGAGAGGTCACCTCTTTTCTTTTTCCCTCCAGCTCGCTTGATTCAAACCGGCCAAGATGCAGGCATTGGAGATGCTCCAAGGTCTTATATTATTATATAAAAACACAACAACAAGAAAAGAGATTACATACTTTTCCTTTTGCCTCCAGCTCGCTGGATTCGAGCCAAACTTGGCACATAATCAAGAATAACTGGCACACATCCATCAAGTGTATCTAATCCACGATGACAAAGAACTTTGAAAGAGTCCTTGGTAAAGGAGGATTTGGAATGGTCTATCATGGAACTGTAAATGGTAATGAACAAGTAGCCGTTAAAATGCTCTTACACTCGTCTTCTCAAGGGTATAAAGAATTCAAAGCAGAGGTAACTTTTAGCAAAGTTTTCACTAATTTTTTTTTTGTAGAAAACATTAATGCACTTTAAGAATTACATGTCAAATTTTGATTTTATGGTTCATTCTCTACTCTTCTAGGTGGAACTTCTTCTCAGAGTTCACCACAAAAATTTGGTTGGCCTCGTCGGATATTGTGATGAAGGAGAAAACTTGGCTCTCATTTACGAGTACATGGCTAACGGAGACCTAAGAGAACAAATGTCGGGTAAGTACAATGAATTGCTACCAAAAAGAAATCCCCATATTTGTTCATTGTGTTTTCACTTTTTTCATATTTTGGTTCTAGTGTAGGAAAACGAGGTGGATCTATTCTGAATTGGGAAACTAGACTAAAAATAGTGGTCGAATCTGCGCAAGGTTTGATATGAGTCTTGATATATAATTTATTGTTTTCCTATATTTATTGCTTAAACCTTGCTGAAAATGAAACAGTAGGCATTAGACTGGATTCAGGTGACTTAGCCTATCTTTCTACTGAAGCCAGGAAATTCTTTTGCGCCATAGAGAGAGAGCTTAACGTGACTGATTTTGGGAAGATGATCATTACCGCTAGTAACGATTTAAACGAAGAGGCAGTCGATGCTTTGAATAAACAGGTAAATAACCTCAGCTTTTAACATTATTGAAATTTTGTTTCCATTAGGCCACACCTCGATGGAATGTAACTTTTCTTTTTGAACAAAAGGGTCATGAAGTAGATGCCTTTGGAATTGGAACCAACTTAGTGACTTGCTACGTGCAAGCGGCGTTAGGCTGTGTTTTCAAACTCGTAAAGATTAATAATCAGCCTCGCATCAAACTTTCTGAAGATGTTACCAAGGTTTTGACTCACTTCCCCATTGATAATGTCGCTTCAAACTTTTGTGCTCTTCTTGATATAAACCTCACTCGCACGGCTTCAGGTATCGATAACATGTAAGAAACGTTCTTACAGATTATTCAGAAAAGAGGGTTACCCTTTGGTTGCTACTAAATTTTTATCCGCGCGTTGCGCGGACTTATTTATTAATTTTATTAAAATTTTATATATTTATATATATTATATTAAATTAATATTATTCTATGTTATATTTGTCTTTTATTTTTTAAATGTTTTTGTTGTCCTAATGTATATCTATATTCTAAAATTATTTTTTTAATATAAATTGTCATGTATTAATTGTTATATTCTTACTGTTTATTTGTATTCAATTGATTTCTCATCTTTTTGTACATCTTCTTTTCATAGATCAACAAAGTGAAATCATCATTGATCTTTCTCCACTCTAAACTAAATGTTCCTTTAATTTTTTATGAAATCTACCTCATTGTAAAGCACAATTAGTCTTTTATTTTTTTCCCTTTTCCTATAGCTCTTAGTCTCGCTATTCTGATTGCAATCTATTGATTTTTTTTCTTATTACATGCAAGCTTCCATCTCATTCAGTTCTGTGATCGGCTATAACTCTAAATGAGGAGAATTTTAGTTAGAGTTGGCTAGACAGAGCAAAAGAACTGTTTAAATACTACATATGTTTGATGGGTTTTTATATCAAAAAATTATGCATAGTTGATATATTGTTGATTTTAATTGATTTGAGGTGTTTTCTTTTTTTAATGATGAACTACCTGACTATATTTGTGAATGTGTGAGAATAATTTTGTCTATTTTCATATCATGTGAATTTAAACAACATAACTATGTTAAAAATTATAATCAATAATCTTGTTTTAGTTTATTTATATATTTTATATTAAAACTCATATATTTTCCGGTTGATGAGTAATGTGGTCGCATATCAATTTTATATTACCATCATTAAGAAAAAATGGTTGATAAGTATTTGCCATTTTTTTCCTCCTTGTATAAATCAAATTCATTTCTATGCTATATAATTACACACTTTATTTTTCTTTATTTATGAAAAAGTTTCATTCATTTTATTCAGTAAAGTAGATACGAATGATTTTACTTTAGTTTTAAGCATTAATATTTTTGAGAATTTTTAAATAAGTTTGATAACTATTATCTTCTGTCATCTTTCGTAATTGTTCATTTTTCAACTCTTTTTTCAAATTATATTTGTTTATATTCGAAATAACTTTTTGAATTTTTTATTTCAAAGAGAATTTGAAGTTTTTATAGTTTATAAAATAAGTATTTGTTTAATATATATGATTTTACTTCAACTTTATATATAAATCTTTCTAAGGTTTTTTATAAAGTTTGATAATTATTTTCTGTAAGTTTTTCGAATAAATCCTTCCAAACTCCTTTTCACAAATGAAGAATTTGTAATTTTTATGATTTGTAAAATAAGTATTTGTTTTTTTTTTCAAATTAATCATATTAAAAGCCCAAAAATAAATACCCAAAATATAAAAACTTAAAAACAAAACCCAAAATGTTTAAAAGCTCATTT